CTAAAGCGAAGAGCGCTAGCTAAAGGCGCCTAAACGCGCTAATAAGGTGGAAAGTGTGGAAAGCGCGCTTCAATGTCAAAGCGCACTTCGTGCGATCACAACGGAGTGCTTCGAGTAGAGGTGACAATCAAATGGGGGAATCAGGACTTTGATAGATGTAGAAGCAGACACTTAAAGGTGTCAAAGCGCCAATAGGAGGGAAACAGGTGTATTCTGATAGAAACTCGAGCTATACACTTCAATGGTAGTGGAGCGGAAGTAAGTGACCGGAAAACAAACATGGTGACATGTGGGTATGCTAAGCAAGTTCCCATGGCTCGGAGCTGAATCGGAAGTACTAAGGTAAATGGTGAGGTAAGTCAGGGTCCATAATGAGATATGATGATAAGCACTAGTGTCTGTCGTGACGGAGTATGAGTTCTGAAGAAGGGAAAATGCACCAATGGACCTTGGAGGACTAGGACAGGACATGTGGAGGACAGGCGATGGATCCTAAGGAAATGCGACGAAGTGCACTGTAACACGCTCAAACGCACTCAAACGCGCTGGTACGTGCCAAAGCGCGCGTTGCACGGAAGTCATATGAGAAGTGTGTTGCAAGGATATCGAGTGCATCGTGAAAAGGCGTGAATTTGGCCCATATGAGCCTGGAGAAACGCGAGTCTCTACACCGGACGGCACTCGCATCGTCAGTGGTTCGGATGATGAGACTGTTCGGCCCTGGCATGCTGCAACGGGGCAGCCAGTCGGTGAGCCCTTGCGGGGGCATACTGATTCAGTTCACTCGGTCTCATTCTTGCCAGATGGCTGCTCGCATTGTCAGTGGTTTGGACAATGAGACTATTCAGCTGTGGAATGCAGTGACGAGGCAGCCGTCACAACAGCGCGCCATGTCACATCCTTCAGCATTCTCAGATGAACATTGCATGATCGAGGATACCACTACCATGACATTGACACTTGTACAAATCACTCCATTCAGCTTCTCGTCCAACCCTACTCATGCGCTCTGCAACACCTCTGAGCTAATGCAGGGAGCATCCCATGACGACCACAGTTTGACCCCCTTTTTCCTGAATGCTGATAGTGGGTGGGTGGCAGGGCCCAAACATCGGCTCTTATTCTGGGTACCACCCACTTCTTGACACCCATTCTATAGCCCTGGAACTACATTAGTGATACCCAGAGGTCCTGAGCTTGATTTGAGCTGTATGTCACATGGACAGCACTGGCAGAGGTGCCGAGAGCAGTGAGTCTCTTCAAAGCCCTTTCTGTTCCTCCCACTTACTAAAATCAACACCTGCAGGCAGACCTTAGTACTGTGATGATCGTATTTTAGCGATTTTGATTTTTGGACATTTCAGATATACCTTGCATGTAACGTGTGCAGTGGATCGTATTTTGTATTCTATATAGTCTATACATAGCATCCAGGCAGAGTCCAGGGTTGTCTGAGCAAATGACTTATTGTGGAACTGATTGCGTGACAATGATGCTTGTGCTGGTTTGCAAGAACACATAACAACGGTCAAAGCATTGCGCGGGCCTTGGATTGGGTTGAATTTAAATGTATACATTGGTGCTTCCTGATAGCTGACCAATAAGCTCAACAGAAGGGCATGGCTGTTGCAGTCATCTGTGGTCGTTCAAGTTCCTGTTGTACTGAGTACATTCAAAGTGGGCTAAAAATCCGAGAAAACAGGGTTAGACGTAATATGTAGTTCATTAGTGTACATTGTAAAGTACAGCATATAATTTCAATATCCACGACAAAGGTGGTGAGAACGAGAGCACCATAAAAATGATGCGTGTAAGGGTGAGGTGTGAAAAAACAGGTGGAGGAGGACAAGCACTGGGTGAGAAACAAGCAAATGGGAGATGAAATCGAGGCAATACGAAGAGTAGGAGCTAACATGAGAGGTTCTGGCACGATAGGTGATATTGAATTGAGGGTGATATTGGACGTATGTGCACCAGGGTGTCACAGTGGGCATCCTCATCAAGGAGTTCTTCAATAGTCGGTTTCTGGAGACTCGACAGGAAGAGTCTAAAGACTACAATTGAGTTCCATAAGTTTGCATTGAGCTTGCAATAAATGAGTGACTTAATGTGAATCTTTGGATATGAGACTAGGAGAAGCAGACTATGACTCACGAAGCTGTTGAGAGGGCATTCATAATACAATTACTTACGCGTGTCTTCAACACACCCAGGCACGGAGTCCTTGGTCGTTATTGGATAGTGCGTAGTACATACTATTGACCATCTCCATGGCCCACTGTGTTGATCCTGTTCAAAGCAGGAATATGAAAGCTCAACATAGCAATGTCTTCATTTCGGCTCCAGAGGTGTGAATGCTGGAGTGATTGTAGTAGTTGGAGAGAATATGGGGGGTCTTGTTGTGTGTGAAGGATAGGCTTTTGAGACTCTGCGAATTTGTAACTGCAAGCAAAGCAGGACTGACAAAGTAGTTCAACCCCAAGTTGAAGCACACTGAGCTCAAAATATCCTTAGACCTCCTCAGCTGGGCAAATGGGACTGTCTGAATAATTTATAGATCTCATGCGAAACCTTGCAATGCTGCTCAAGGTCCTTACCGCAGCAGTGAATGCCATGCTCCCAGTGCACAAGCTCCAGTTCGTCAGAACCTTCTAGATCTGGGCTTGTTTGAGTATGTCTTTGTATAACCATTTATCATGAATTCAAACTCACAAATCATGAATATTATGGGCACCTCATGCTCCTCTGTTCACTAACATACGCCATTCTCCCAAGTCCACTACCCCGACTACCAACCCCTGCACTCATAGTACCCACGTACTCCTCCATGCATACTCCCCCCTTCTCCCACTCCTGACATACACCTCCCCACCACCACCTGCACTCCTGCTCAAAGCCACAACTGCAGAATACCTTGAAAAATGAGCAAAAAGAATTCGGAAGCAAATACGGTAAAGTTTGAAGTTAGCAGTCATTAGCACTACTGTCTGACTCTGACTGCAACCCACACTCGCATCACATATCAACCCAGGTGCCAACGACAAGTTCGTATGTGTCCCAAATGTGAGTTCCAAGGCTATTTTGTCTCCCTGAGGTGTATATGCAAGAGCATACACCTTTGACTGTCAAAGTCGCTCCTAGCGCTCATGCATTTGCTACATTGCCAGGTATTGGTTAACTGAGATTGAAGGTCTGGCAATACTGAACTTAACAACCCGCTGTGGTGTTCAAGCTTGGGCTAGCCTCGCAGAACCCCATTTCACTATAGGAGTCAAGCAGCCTAGATATCCACATCACATCCATACACCACTTCCTTGCAAAGTCTCGACTCACTTGACTCACCTATGTCGCGCCGGTCTATGTCCGACTCGGCCAATATGAATCCGTGGCCTCGGTCTCTCGCAGAAGAGCCAGGGTTGTCTTAACCGCCCCTTGCTCGTTGGATCGGCCATCGCGCACCTTGGCCGACCATTCCGTCCCATCGGTACCAAATCCTCCCATGTCCTACCCATGTCCACCTATCTCCATTGGTGCGTTTTAAGCTCATTTTACTATTACTGAACGAACAGCAGGCGTTGTTACATGTATTCCCATGGCCGCAGCACTCGTGAGCCTTATTACATATCGACCCGAGTACCTCGCGTTTCACTACTACTCTCACCTGTGCGATTCCGGACGTTCACGCAGTTACATAAATAGGACTCAAGTTTGTATTATCCCTTACTTCCCTTCCTTGGACATACCTGGTACTGTTGTAGGAGTCACCTTAGTTAGTCCTTGATTGTGCAAATTGATCCCCCTTGCTTTTTATCATTGGACGTGCCTTGACCGCTCTAAGTGCACTCTATCTAAGGTTTCTTTACCTAGGCCTTGTGAGATCCGGTGTCCTCTTACTTAAGGGTCTTATGTACGCCGCTTATATAGTGACAACACAACTATATAGGATAAGACTTATTGCCAGTCCTTAAGTACACGGTCTACGACTTTTCTAGTTTTCGTGGTAGATAATGTGTGAGTTCTTGGGAGGATTTATTTCAATATACCTTCTTTCCTTGTTCCTTGGTTAGTTTAAAACAATTTGATTCTGTATACTGAGTCTACAGTATGATTTGTGTCTGAGAGTTAGTGTGCCCGTGTAGCGTGTAGCGTGAAATGTGTAGCATGAATCGTGTCTCCCTTCCTGTAAAAGAGAGAGGAAAATAGTATGGGTTTAAAATTAGTTAGAATAGCTGATAGATTATATAATCAACCCCTGTAAGGTAGTATATAATTGAATAACTGTTTCTTAGTCTTACTTTGAGGCTAATGAATTGCCTGTACTTAGGTTCTTACTTAATCTCACACTGTTTGAGATGAGTGAAGGTGGGAAGTGCTCCATTTATTACATGGCAAAATTGGGCTCCTTATATACCTTTTGGAGGCCCTGATTACAAAGCATGAATCATCACATGGATTGGTAAGAATGTGCTTACTAACAATGCCATTTGGTGTGTTGAGTCAGCTTGTTTACTAATTTACATTATAAATACAGTGTAGTTTACAAAGCATGACGAATCATGGCATGAGTCATCACATGGATTGGTAAGGATGTGCTTACTAACAATGCCATTTGGTGTGCTGAATCAGCCTTCTTACCAAGTAGCTTATAAATACAGTTAGAAATCTTACAAAGCATGACGAATCATGACAAAACATGATGAGTCAAGCTCAATCTTTACAAATCATGATATCTACCAGTCACATGACATGCTTACGAACATGCTTGGTGGCTGAAAAGAAAGTCTGTTGGCTGAATATGCCTGAGGAAAATAGAAAGAGATGGAATGTCATAGAGCAAAATAGAAATACATGGAAAAATGGAAGTGAAGATTGAAAGTGAAAATACTAGCTAATAACTAAGGGGAAAATGATGGGGTAACTTGGTGATAGGATACAGTAGGGTCTATTATACCTTCCTTATCACATCTCTGGTGTATCTGTCATGGTATGAGTTGCATACCATGCATGACAGCACGCTGGGCAATACCTACGCAGTGTATAACCCCTTCCCTGGGCCATACTACCCAGACTATCATAGCAGTACCTACGCGGTGTATAACCTCTTCCCTGGGCCATACTACCCAGACTATCTCAGTGAATTTGGCGCTGCCAGACAAGTTAATATCAGTACAGTACATGACATCATAAATATTACTCACTTCTCATCGACACTTACATCAAGGATTCTGCTCAGTGCAAATACCTCTTTGATGCCATGGATGTGATTTCCTTGCTCACTTCTCATCGACACTTACATCAAGGATTCTGGGCACTCAAGTGGATATCTGATCAGCATTCCACCTTTGGTGAGCACCTGGTTGCTTTCACTACCATCGAGGGCATCTCTTTCTCTGGTTGCTTTGCGTTTTTTTTCTGGCTCAAGAAGCGCAGTCTCATGCCTAGTCTTACATTCTTCAATGAGCTCCTCAGCCATGATTTAGATGAGGGTATGCATACCAACTTCATTTACTTTCTACTATAATGAAGCCTTGTCTACAATACGAATAAAAATATGTAGTGTTCTCTGCAACACAAAGCCTTGTCTGCAATACAAATTGAGTAGCGTTCTCTGCAATAATTGAGCAGTGTTCTATCCAGCGCCATGAGGACGCACTTCTGGCAAGAAAATGAAAATCACCAGCGTGATGTCTGTATACCAAGCCTTGTCTGCAATACAAGTTGATTGAAGCCTTGTCAGCAATATACATTGAGTAGTGTTCTATCAAGTCATTGTCATTGTGAGTAAGTTACGCTAACGATATTGAACTGCTATCACTGCAGGCGCAGATAAGCCAAAAGATCTTGTGCACCGGCCTTCTCGCTGGTCGAGGCACACTTCGCTATCACAGCCTGCCTGGGTGAGCTTCCCCCTTCACCATATTGCCAGCAAGATGTACACTGCTTGCTGTGCTTCGGCCATCCACGTTGATCCCACTCCAAGGGCATCCTGCACATCTTTTTTCTTGATGTGCGGTCCTCTTTCAAGGCTCCGAGACTGGCAGCTGTCACCTGGTTCCTGGAAGAACACCCTCAGTATGGTAAGGGACTGAACAGACAATATGGTACTCACACTGACCGGACATGGCTTCTGGCTGTACCTTTCGCAGAATTGCACAGCAAACTGCCACGATGCGACAACAGCTGCATTGGGTTGGACACAGTGCTAGCCAGCCTTGAAGGCAGCATACCCGGGCTCCTCTTGTGCCTTCTCAGCAAGCCATGCTGCCGCAGTGCAGGATTGAGGTTTGTGGGAGTCAGATGCAGTGGTGCAGTGCTGGCCATGAGCAGTGCTGGCAGCAGTGGCAGCTTCCCTCATCTGGACGATCTGAAACTAGCTGTGAACCAGTGGATGACCCAACAAAAGAACAAAAAGACTTCACCTGCCCAAACCTGACACACAACGTCAGAACATTGTCCGCTGGGATATGGATGCTGGGGGCATCTGGGGCTGAATGCATCAGTCCACCTGCAGTGGCAGACACGAGCCATCGCAAATACTCAGGGTGAGCTGGGTCGGGGTACATGATCTCCAAGGCGTCTGGCAAGCACAGTTATAGTACCATCTGGAGAAGTCAAAAGGGCTTACCTTCAATGCCAGGCGCTTTCTCATGCAGCCGTTCAACAAGCTGCACAGCGCTTCCTTGCCACTCACCCGTCAGGTCATTCAGTGCACCAACCTGCTCAAGAGTGACCAAATATGCGAAGCTGCTCGAGGTCGGCACTAGGACGGATAAAGTCCACATAAAGATCAACATCCTGTGAACAGAGGTCATTAGTATTCTCACTGGTCGCTCTGCCAGCCTGGCTGGATGAGTCTAAGGAAGGGGTTCAGCAGGTGGCAAATGGCATTGAGAAATGGAGACAAGCCTGGCAGGGTGCAGCTGCCCAAGTCCATCCCAGCACCATGTTCGAGCTTGGTCCCTGCCAAATGCTCAGTTTCGATGGCAGTAGGTTGTGAGGATGGCAGTGCTGAAGGTGAAGGTGGAGTTGGAGTTGGAGAAGATGCTGATGGTGGTGCTGGAGGTGGTGGTGGAATTGGCCCATCTGCAGACACAGTGTTGCTGCGCTGCGCTACGACTTGTTTGGAGGCAGGGGCTTGAGGCGGCTTTGTAAAGCCATATGCTGGGTTGAGGAGGACAGCACGCATCTGTGCCATGTTGGTCTTCGAGGTGAAATGCCTCTTGCCCTCTTTGAATGGCCAGCTGTTCATGCTGGCGCTGGATCATCACAACAAGATCCTCGCGCCGCTTGTCCTGTCTGCAATGTGCGTGTTCAGCATTCAGAAAAAGTCAGAAGTCAGTGCTCACAGGTTATTAGCCTCATAAGGTATCTCAAACATCATGTTCGGCTCTCATTCCATGTGTGCAAATGGTACTGTTAACCGGCAGGAGTTGGGGTTGTAGCGGAAGGTCAATGGGAGTGATCGAGAGCTTGTGCGCCCCTCTCCATGGGGGATTTTCCATTCTGTCCGATGTCTTCGATGGTGAAAGTACATGATCGGGCGTTAATATTATAAATGGGCAGGATGTATTCAATGTATTCCTGCCAATCTCAGGTCACCACCGGCGTATATTTGGTGGTGTTGTCAGCCATGGGAACGAGCCACCAGAGGTAAACACGGTGGCTACCTCAGCGCCGATACATGATTGTGCAACCCCTCCTAAGGTAAGCTTGTACTAGTACTTGTTCTTGTCATCCTCAGCCACGTAGGGAACCTGCTGCACTACAAACGACATAGGGTCCTTGCCTGGTGAAGCTGAGACCCTAATATAGAACTTCGCAGGGTTGCCTTTCTTGTCCTTTCCCATATAGACGTTCTTGGACTGAATATGCCCTCCTTCTCTGGTGGCCGCCTCATAGCCGGCCTTGGCAACGGCGGATTCCACGACTCCAGCTTTGATTGAGCCTAGGAGCGGGTCCGTCCAGCCCTGTGCCCATAAACAAACAATAAATCCTTTTGTTCTGACCTCACGGGAATGCTTAGTACCCACCACTGCGAAGTCAAACGATTGCTTAGAGTCAAGCCACAGATTGAACGCTGTGCCCCCTGTCGCGCCTGTGATGGCATTATCGCCATTGCAACAAGAGAACGTCACTGAAGAGAACGAATTATTGCCTTCGGGTGCTTTCCAGTAGCGGCCCGAGGAAAAATAGGTGTCTACAACCGTGTAGTTGAATTGAGTAATATTCTTGAGGGAACAGTTGATCCAGTGGAACTTTCGCTTGAGGTCATCGTCTGCCCCAGGGATGGTTTTTTTTTGAGTCTACAAGTTGTGACGAGGGTATCATTTAATCATGTTCGGGGTTGAAGACTGAAAAAGCGTGTACATACATCTATAGTCTTTTTAGCCAGGATCAGCGCGTCCAAGATTATACTCAAGATTTCAATAATGCCATTGGACGAAGTGGGCGAATCGGACATGCTAAATGGATAGAAAGTAAGGATATGTGATGCTGTGATGGATGTTGCTTTCAAAATGTATGTTGCCCTCCGCCCAAGCTGCGAGGTATGGTGAAGTGGTACAGTAAATCGAGCTCAATCTTGCTGTTATCGCAGCCACCTGCATGGATTATATAATGTTTGTTGCCGTGTCGGCAGACTCGGCAACCCTTTCAAGAGATCCGACAAATTTGCTGACCAGCGCGCGAACAACGGGGTTATCACAGTCGACCAGCGTTTTTCAGCGTTTTTCAGACCTCAAAACTTTTCTGAACAACGGGCGAAAAACGCCTCGCCAACGCAACTGTGAACTCCCCTGTTGTCGTGGAATCATGGGACCCCAAGGGCAAATTCCCACCCTCTATCACACCCATACTCGCAGACGTCGCGTTGAAAGCTGTCAACCTCGGCGAATCCGATGAAGACTTTTTCAATCTTATGCCGGTGCTGTTTCCTTATAACCACTTTGACATAACTGCACGTCGTGTCACCCATACTTGAACACACTAGCTCACTGGATGGCGTCTGCGCACAGAAACTCATCAAACGCCCTATCTCACTTCACCACTAACGCCTCACACAGAACGCCGCAAGGAAAAAGCCAAGAACGAAAGCGAAGCAGGCGCAGCATCAGCCTCGACGCCCAGTGCAAGCGCAGACGCCGCACACCACGACGATGGTGCAGGGAGTGGTGTCGATGGTGACAATGTCCGTGCAGACGGCGACAGAACCTCGCTGACAGTGCAGGTCCAGACGGTGGAGGACAAGGCGCAGACGACAACGCCCCAGGAGCAAACGAAGTGGACGGAACGCGGGACACGCATCCCCCTGCGCAGAAATACCGATTGACGGAGGCGATGAAGGTGATTGTGTGGCAGCTTGTGATCCTTAGTAATGAGTGTTGTAGGCTTGAGAATGAGAAGTGAGTGCGAGCTCTTCTTCTTTCCTTCTCTTCCCTTCCCTTCCCTTCTCTTCTCTTCTTTCATTGTTTTTGTGGGATTTTGGAAGTGGTTGTTGATGTGAATGAATAGTGGATTAGACGGGAGTAATACGCTTGTTAGCGAACAGGGATCGAGAAAGATTTTGTATCTGAAGGTGTATTTTCTGTTTGGATCGGTATGAGAGTACTTGTTGGGTGGTAGATTGTAGCGGCGTTTCCCAGTGGGTGGTTGAACTCGGGTCAGTGATCATGAGAAGGTGCGTCTTCCCCACTCACGCTCATACTCACAAACCCTATACCTATACTGACGACAAACACAGTGAGCTCCCTAAAGAAGAAATACGAGCAAGAGACGATGGAGCAAGAGAACTGAGCTGATGATGATTCTCGTTTGTTTTATTCGGTCATATCATCTTTTAGTTATGAAGGGCGTACGTTTACGTTTTGTCTTGATTGGTATATTATTCGTCTCGCTTACCTTCGTCCCTGCTTATTTTGATTTCTCCCCCCTACTTTGCTTCGATCCTCGCTTAATATTTGCTCCAGGTTTGGTTGGTTTGTCCCCTCGAAGTACTTAGCTTAAGCTCTTACTATTGACAACATTGTCATCTATTGTGTGCGTGCCGTGGGGTTAAACGCCTTCGAAACAGCTTAGTAATTGAGCGCCTCCTTGGACCTTGATCATCATGCAAAATTGCAGTTCTCCCATCAACCTCCTACGTGCATGCAAATATCCTACGATCGTGTCTACAAGTTTGTGGTGGGTTCCAGTTGTATAGACAAATGTAACTCACCCACAAACTTTGGAACGCGTGTTGAGCAAAATCTTTGATAGCGCTTCTAGTTGAAACGTTCAACTTGAAGCACGCAGCCACTCGATGAAGCTCATAGGTCATCGACCGAATTGGAGCTAAGTCCAACGCCTATTTCGACATCCCCTGCAACTCCGAAGCCTACTCCACGCCCCTCCTCAATGTCTCGACATCCGCCCTGTCGACCTCAAGCGACTCCGCCACTCTCAAACACCCTCGCGAATCTCCGAGGGAGACGTTTAGCATTCCTGCGTCGAGGTCGCGTTGGTGGGCCAAGGAGGAGCGGCCTGGACTGTGCAGCCTGCATGGACGAGGCGTTTGGCTAATGCGGAGCCCGTTGCTCCTGCTGAGACGACGGCGATGGTTGACATTGGTATTGAGGTTGTGCGTGGGGGTGGGATCTTTGGTGGTCGTTTCTGGAGGACGGCTGGTGAGGTTCTTCTTGTTTATGAGTTCGTACGGGATTAATACTCATCCTTCCGTGGTTTACACTGCGGAGGTCCATACAATGGAACCCAGATTGGTCAACCTTGCACCGGTCACACTAACGTCGACATCAACTCACTTGCCATCTCTTCTGATGACTACTTCATTACAACTGCCTCGGACGATAAGACTGTGCGCCTGTCGCGGTGGAGCATAAAGTCGCACCAGCAGATAGGACAGCCACTCAAACACACCACACATAAGACAAACTTGTTCAATTCTCGCCTGCAATGCGTACTTGGCAGACATTCCTGCTCATCCATCTGTGGACTCGTGATCTTCTCGAGCTACCTTGCTTTGCAGACGAGTCGCAAAGCGTGGGTGATCGGCCTGATGAGTTGGTCACCAGAGGGTTGAGGTTGCTCGTTCGCCTTAGTCGTCCTTTCGGCGCACTTTTGCTAGCGCAACAGCGTGGTGGGGAGTATAAGAGAATCGCTTCGATTAACAATATCATCGTACGAGTCAGGGATATAGCTGCGAAGAACGGGGCATTTTCATTTCATACATTTCCACATGAACAGTACCCTAGAATTTTGTATGATATCGGTCTCGATATCGTATCATATATTGTCTCGCATACAAACAAGCTAGTCCTAAAATCAGACGTCCGGGAGATGGTGTTCTCCCTGGAGGGAGAGATGTGACGGTGACGCTGTCCAACAGATCTTCGAGAACCCTGCACTTCTAGACCTCGACATCTCTATTCGCGATCAGATGGAAGGCTTGTTTCTCTGACCACTCAGGAAGCTTCAAGGTACACTACGCGAATACGGCAGTGCGCCTTTGGCGTTCGTGGGCGACGCTCCCGATGAATGTACATCCGAAACCCTTGATCAATCCGCATGCGAATACTTTGATGAAGACAAATCCGAAAGTGAGCTTGCTGAACTCATATCATTGCCGAAGTCATGCCAAAAGATGTGCGCCCGCTGGTGGGCGAGATACCAGTGAACATTTCTGGAAAGGGTGTTGCTATCATCATCTTGCTAGATAGCGCAGATGTCGATGAAGATATCCATCGTTTCTTGGAGGCTTCCTTCAGAAAACTATGGCTTTGTTATTCCACTTTGTCGTAGCGAACAAATGCTCAACTTAAATGGCTAACGAACCGAGCGGGCAATAGTCAGGCTATGCAACCCCAGGATCCCCAGAATTTAAAACACTCGTTGTCATTCACGGTTCAGCCACCGACACTAATGCAAGTACTTGTAACTTTGTTATGGCTTCGGGGGAATTACCATTCAGAGTTACAGTTCTGGCTAGATACCCCGGACGGGTGGGCTGGCTGCTGAGTGAAGGAGTGAAGGACTGGCTGTTAACCCAGGGGGAAGAGTGGTTGCGCACCCCGGGCGTGCATTATTGGCGGGAGACAGAGGTCGGGTTAGACTGGTCTATGAAAGAGCATGATACGAGACTTACTTCCCAGTCGCCCCAGAACACGCATCTCTTGCTTCTCAGCACTTGCACTATCCGAAAGCCTCCTCACAACCGATGTCCTAAGAATACCCGAGCCCACAACGACAGAATCAGCAGGCGTCAGTAGCTGAGAAACGTGAGCGGTGATAGGGGGGTAGGTAGGACCAGAATGAGCGTTCGGGGTTTGGTGGGAGCCCTGGAGAGCGCTGGATGTGTGTTTGGAAAGTTTGGAAGGTGTGGAGGTTGTCGAGGAATTTGGTTAATGCTAGGCGGATGAGGGATGGTGTATTGCCCATCGCGGGAAGGAAAGAAGGAACTGATGCGGTTGTGGCGCGCTTGCAGTATGTCATGTTCTATGATTTCCTTGAGCACTTCTTCTGGGGTATCGGTGCAATGGTATCTGATGTAGACAGCCAGGGATTCGGGAATGCACGGATATGGGGACTTTACACATCCGAGTCGTCGCTGGTGGATGGGTCCGTCATCTAGGACACGCTGGAGTTGGAAGATTGATTGAAGATGAGATCTAGATCTGAGTTTTCGATCAGAACCCTTACTGAACGATTATTGTTTCTAGTTCTCAGGCTTCTGGATGTCACAGCTCATACACGTTGGCATCTGGGGCCAGGTGAAATTGACGCGGTCCTGTGGACTCCTGCCGCGCCTGTGACGTGGCATGGCAGTGCAATAAACATTGCCTCGAGACTTGCTGTACCTATTTTATATATGAATGATATCGGACCCTTCCTTACCTTACCTCGTTCACAAGTGGACAAGCGCAAACGCAAATTATCGAGGAATTCGAGTCAAGACACCGAAGCAACAGCTCCTGAAAGCTCGGTACGTGGCTTATCAGGATCACTTGGTTCACTCCACTCCGAAATACTGACATTGATGCATCCTTCGTCTAGCACCGACCCCATGGCAGAGTTGTGGAGAACACACGGGAATTGGTACATGAAACCAGCTATGCTTTCAAGGTTACTGAGGGTGGTGTTAAGAGGTTAAGGATCTCGGATCTCGGTAAGTCCACGAACATGTGTAATGAGTGTCCTAGAATACGACTAAGACTGTCATAAGCGCTCGAAGGATTCCCCCAGCCGCAGCCCTGTTCCCCCGCATGAACGTGCATCATCGACCTCGGTAGGTTCTCATACTTGCCCTCCAGTCTCTGTGCTCTCTTTAAATTCTTGTGGTTGCCCAGGTTCAGGCGGCTTCGCCTGGTTTGGAAATGGAGGTTGATACCCAATCGGCACTTCAGGATACTCAAGAGGCTGTAAAGCATATGCATTCACGTTCGGGACCTGCGACCACTCTTGTTCAAGATGCACAAGAGGATCTTGACAGTTACCAGGAGGTATCTCTCGAACTCTTCAGGGTATTCGACGCTGTTATCGGAGGGATCACGGATGTATGGGCCCTATTCTCGATCAGAACCGAACCAATCTAGTTCCACAGGTACATCCCTATGCAAAGATGGCACTGGGCGTGTTGTCTTGTGCAACCAAAGTATGTTTTCATTTTCTCTCTCCCTATCTCTTACTGTTACTCAGAAATCATTTGTGCAGAGTATTCTAGCAAAAGTCGATCACGGCACAGCAGTGCTCAAACTTCTCGATAAGTTATGTGACGTGTATAGCTTCATAAGACAAGAGGGGATCCTTGAAAAAATAAAAATCTCGTCGATGAGCGCTTTCCTTGGAAAGATTTCTCAGCAGACCCGAGAATGCGCCCATTTTATCAAAAACTATTCGGAAACCAAGAAATTTTGTAAGTCTTAACAAGCTACCACGGTCTGTACCGTCTCGAGCTTCTACCATTATCACAGGGAGCAGACATGGAAAGAACGATATCTCGGAAACGGAAGATACGATCCAAAAGTACAATGACGTGTTCGATACGCTCATGCAAAACTTCCGGAACCAGGTCGCTCACGACGTAGCCATACATGTCCACCATACGGGTAAGGGTTCGGACATCCTTGTGACTTGACATATTCATACCTTTTCAGAAGAAATACTGGACCTCAGCGGTATGACTTATGCAGATGGCGCGGGACTAGATACTAGAAAAGAATGCCTTCAAGGGACCCGCACGGAAATCCTTTCCGAGATCACCGAATGGGTCAGCAGCACCGGGGACAACGTTCCACGCGTGCTGTGGCTATCTGGCCCTGCAGGCAAGGGCAAATCGGCCATCGCCCACACCATTGCTAGGTGGTTCGAAGATGTGGGAGGGCTTGGTTCGTGTTACTGTTTTGACCGCCAGCGAGAAGCAGATCGTCGCCATGAAAAGATCTTTTCCACGATCGCACAGGACCTGGCTGACCGTGATCCGGAGATGAGGCGGGCATTAGCAGATGCAGTTCGGGCCACGAGTTCGCTCAAGAAGACGTCAGATATCATCCAGCAGTGGCAGAAACTTCTCGTCCGACCACTGAAGAAGTCCACTGGGTCAACTGGCGAACCCATCGTGATCGTGATTGATGCACTGGATGAGAGCGGTGGAGTAGAGACACGAAGAGACCTCCTCCGTATTCTAGCTGGCAAACATCAAGACCCCGCCGTTCCCAAAATCATAGACTTCCCAGCCAACTTCCGCTTCATCGTTACCTCTCGTCCGCTTGGTGATATCAAAGACGAGTTTCATGGCGTTCAGCATATTCAACAGATGTCGATGGATGATATTCCAACAGCAGTCGCAGAGCGCGACATCCATGCTTACGTATCCAAGGAGTTGAAAGGACTGGATTTCCAGGACAGAAAGTTAGAAGTCCTCGCCGAGAAAGCTAACGGACTTTTCGAGTGGGCGCGTCTCGCCTGCGGATACATCAAAGAGCCTCATGTGGGTTTATCTCCAATTGATTGCTACAACGCTGTGGTATCACATGATCCTGCGGAGAGAAGCATGCTGTTGCACAGCATGTATGACCTCATTTTGACAAATATCATGCCCAAGGATACATCTATCCACGTGCAGCATTCGCAGAAATCGCGTTCGACGGCGCTAGCAAGATTCCACTCGGTGATGGGACAAATACTAGGCACAGCTGAACCCCTTCCTTTGGCTTCCCTGAATGCCATGAGGCGCCATTTCCCAACGGGAGAGGACAATTTCGACGTGGAGCTTGTGATAAAAGGCATGGGCTCCCTCCTCAGCGGCACCACCAACCCTGATTCCCCGATCCGACCCCTTCACGCATCCTTCCGTGATTTCCTAACGGACCAACCATCCAGCGGAGAATTTTTCATTGACCTGTCAAAGTCGCAACGCGACCTTGCATTCGCGTCACTTCGAGTGATGGAACGCGGTCTTCGCTTCAATATCTGCGATTTAAAGTCATCATATCTACCTAATAACGAAGATCCCGGGCTACAAGAACGAATGCGAAAATACATCCTCCCACATCTGTCATATTCATCTCGATTTTGGACGTCGCACGTACGAACCACAGCCTTCGACAAGCAGCTTGCGAAAGAAGTGAAATCGTTCTTCGACCACGAGCGGGTGTTTTTCTGGCTCGAGTTACTCGCGTTGATCGATGCGCTCCGCGGTGCAGTTCCTGCCCTTCCGTTCATTGCCCAGTGGCTAAAGGTGAGTACATTGCTACCGACTGCCAGATAAAGCGCTCATGCGCAACCACAGGGCCATCCCAAATTCAAAGATGCCTCGTCGACTGCAATGGACGTACAGAGGTTCATTCAAGTCTTCAGTGGCATGATTTTACACAGTACACCACATCTATATGTATCAGCACTCCCATTCACGCCTGCCAACTCTCCGCTATCCAGAAAGCTTTCTGCACGGTTTCCGAATATTCTTCGTGTAGCATCTGGACGTGATATGAACTGGCCAGCTGTTCAGACCGTTCTCAGTGTGTACATTGATTCAGTTATCTCAGTCTCGTTCTCGCCGGACGGCACTCGCATTGTCAGTTGTGCGGAAGATGATATTCAGCTGGTGGGATGCTGTCACGGGGGCAGCCAGTCTGTGAGCACCTGCGGGGGGAACACTGATTCAGTTACTCGGTCCTCATTCTCGCCGGACGGCACTCGCATCGTCAGTGGTTCTTGGGATATGACTGTTCGGCTGTGGGATGCTGCGACGGGCAGCCAGTCGTGAGCCCTTGCGGGGGCACACTCAGTTATCTCGGTCTATTCCGCCGACGGACTTGCATCGTGGTTCGACGATGAATTTCGGCCGGACGGGCGCCAGCGTACTGCGGGGCACACGATCAGTTAGTCGGTCATTCTGCCGGACGCACTCGCACGTCATGTTCGGAGATACCTGTTCGGCTGTGGTGCTGCAACGATCAGCCAGTCGTGAGCCCTTGCGGGGCAACCAGTCCTCGGTTCTCTCGCGACGGCACTCGCCGTCATGTTCGGGGATAAGATTGTTCGGCTGTGGGATGCTGCAACGGGGCAGCCAGTCGGTGAGTCCTTGCGGGGGGCACGCTAGTTGGGTTAGCTCGGTCTCTTTCTCGCCGGACGGCACTCGCATCGTGAGTGGTTCTTGGGATGACACTGTCCGGCTGTGGGATGCTGCAACGGGGCAGCCGTCGCAACAATGCGCCATGCCACACCCTTCAGCATTCTCAGATGAACATTGCACAATCGAGGCCACCACTACCATGCAATCGAACACTCGGAACAATCACTTCATTTCCTTCTCGTCCAACTCTATCCACGCGCTGTGCAACACTTCTGAGTTAACGGAGGGAGCATCCTATGACGAGTGCAGTTCAACCTACGACGACTGCAGTTCAACCTACGACGACTACGACGACTGCAGTTCAACCCCCTTTGCCCTGAATGGCGACAGTGGATGGGTGGCAGGGCCCAAACATCGGCTCTTATTCTGGGTACCACCCGCTTCTCGACGCCTACTTTACAGCCCTGGAACTGCATTAGCGATACCCATTGGAGGTCCTGAGCTTGATTTGAGTCGCATGGCACATGGCCAGCACTGGCAAAAGTGCCGAGAGGAGTGAGTCTCTTCGAAGCCCTTTCCGTTCCTCACACTTACTAAAATCAACACTTGCAGACCTTGATACTGCTATTTTAGCTATCGATCCTTTGTTGTGATTTCTCTCAGATATAACTTGAATGTGACATGTACAGTCGCTTATTTTGATCGCTTGTTACCTACTTTGCGCGCCCTTTGATCCCCTACTTTGCTTCGATCCTCACTTGACATCTGCTCCCGGTTTGGTTGTTTTGTTCCCTTCAGGTACTTAATTTGAACTCTTATTATTGAAAACATTGGCCCCATTACTTTTTTTTTCGTGGAGGTTTGTGCGACTTAGAAACGCTTAGTAGTAGAGTGCCTCGGATCCTTGATGCAAAATTGCAAATGTTCAAGTTGTCAGTTCTTCTATTGACCTCGCATCTTAAACGATGTACATGCACATGTCTTACATCCGTGTCTACAAGTTTGTAGTTGATATTATAATTACTCGACAAGTACAACCTCGCACATAAAGTTTGGAATGCGTGTTGAGCAAAATCTCTGACTGATTGACTCGGACAAGCCCTTCTAGTTGAAACGTTGAAGCACATCGCCACGATGAAGTACATGGACCATCGACCGAACTGGAGATAGGGCCATCACAATCAGGATCAACGCCTACTTCGACGTCCCCTGCAACTCCAAAGCCTTCTCCACGCCGGTCCTCAACGTCTCGACATCCACCCCATCACCCTCGAGCGATCCCGCGACCCTCTCAAACACCCTCGCAAATCCCTTGAAGACATCTGCTTCTCCCCCTCCTACAAATTCTGCGAGCCCTTCCATCTCGGCTACGAATCGGTAAGCTTTGGGGATTCCTTCTGGGACTGTTTGGATAAGTCTGCCCATTAGGGCCGGTTGGGAGATGCTGAGTTCTTTCATTAGAGCGTCAGCTGTTGCTGGTGAGGAGCGGTGGGCGGCTGTTGTGGTTTTGGTAAATTGTTTGATTATTCGGAGGTGTGGATTCGAGGGGTGCAGAGCAGGACTCACTCAGCATCATCGTCATGAAGAGGCCTATAGATCCTTTCTTCATCATCTGTCACCACCACCAGCCTTCAGTTTCAGCCCTGCTCAACCATGTTGCAAGAACGAATGACTCACAGACTCGCAAAGCTTCAAAGAACTTGCATCACCAATTCCAGCACCTGCGCCTTTCAACGGTGATATTTTAAGTCCGTATTGGGACAGCGCAGCAAACTCTTCCAATACTTCTTCTGATCCTGATTCTGTACAGGCGTAAAAAGTGGGATCCCATCCTTCTCGAGGCGGTGTCCCTACTATCCCTGCATCGATGAATCCCATATGGGTTTCCTTAAACAGCCCTCCGATGCGTTTTACCGTTTCTGGATTCACAGCATTACAATCGACAAACGCGCGCGGAAGGGGAAGTGGCACGGAATTGGACACCGCGACGACTTTGCGCGCGAACGTAAACGCTTCACCTGGAGGCATGATGCTCAGTATCCAGTTTGACTTGGATAAGAGGGTTTCAAGGGGGACGTTTATCATCCCTGCGTCCAGGGCGCGTTGGTGGGCTGCGGGAGACCGACCGTCGAGGTTGGTGTAGACTGTGCAGCCGGCGTGAACGAGGCGTTTGGCTATTGCGGAGCCCATTGCTCCTGCTGAGACGACGGCGAGGGTTGACATTGGTATTGGGGTTGGAGTCGACTCGCGAGGAGGGCTGATGAGGGTTGGGATCTTCGGTGATTGTTTCGGGAGGAGACCCGCTCGTGAGGTTGTTTTTATTTATGAGTCCGTATGTCATTAACATTTATTCATCGTTCCGTACTTAGTTTACACTGCGGAGGTCCGTGGCGGCTGTCAGTGAGGTTATATTTGTGTCTGGTGGTGTTGTCTCGATTTAGACGCGGAGTCGTATACGGTATGGTATACTCAGCTCTGAGCTGTGATATCATGAAGGCAGAAACAGACACGATCGTAGCGGCGTTGTCATCTCTGTAGCGGAGCGGTGCGATATGCGACACGGAGTCTACGTGTCAAGTACTGTAGCCACATCGACAGCCTACAGCGTGCTCTGGAGTCTGGGCAGTCTAAATATAATATTCTATATAGTACATTAAGACTCACCACTGCCGCACCCAACAGCATCCCTGGGACCGAGGAATGGGTGATTGTGTCACGTCGACGGTGATTGATCAGACGGCTCGTGGACCATGAGACATGTTAACGTGAAATTTGTGTGCTCATAAGGAGTGCTAGAAGCAACACCGCTAGGTCAATTGTCATGTATGTAGGACTTACTAGGACTTCGACACAGGTGACCAAGACGTTCTAGGAACACCGGAAATGTCCGGATGAGCGGCCTAAAGCACCCGTGTTGGAGTTTTCTCCGTTTCCTAAAACATCTAACTTCGAGACGAGAACAGTACTTGCTTCAAGTTACCGATCCTTAGCATTGAAGGAATGATTAATTGCTGCGGGTGCGGCAAGTTCAAGTCCTCATCTCACCTGCTCGTCGTCTCGGAGCACAAGTTAACGTTTAGTTTTCGTCACTCATTCTATTTCTCCCAGCCCGTCTAATGGTAGGACCGACTGCACCTCCTCTCGACTTGTGCATTATCTGTAGCTCAGTCTGTAACCTGGCGCACTGGAGACTCTGGGCCGCCGGAGCAGAAAACGGTACTTGATTGTCCGATCTGAGGTATATGATCATTTAGGTACATACATGTTATTGTCATCATCATTTTAATGGCAATCAAAGAAGTTGAACGTTGAGAAGCAGGACAAAAGCATGAGTGCCTCGATTGTGATAACCAGATAATAGATTGCGTACGAGATCAGCCGGCAAGGCAAGTGATACCATTATTATTTAAAAGCCTACGCGACCTTGTAGTTGTATTAGAACAATACGGTACCGAGTATAGAACAAAATGCATCCTCGGGTTCATTATACGTTAGCATTTGATGGGCGACTACTAGGGACTTTACGAAACGGGTCGGCCCGGCCGCATCATCTAGCATCACCCCCATTCGAAAGTTTGAAACGTCGATGCATGCCTTCACCTATAAAGAAGAAAAAATTCAAGGAATGACTGACTTCCTTCTATCAAGGTCTGACCACTGGACTCTAAAGACCAGATAGTCGACCAGGTCCTTTTTACCTGTCCATCTAAACTCACCTGCATCGCTGATACTTGGTATGTCAAAGACTTGTGTATCGTGTCGATCGAATGCTTGCTGTTGCGTGCCGACAACTACATTTCCCCCCTCAGCGGACTGGAAGGCCTGCTCGAAAAATGCTTCAAAAAATACGCGCAATGGACTATTTTCTGCACGCGCATGTTACATCCTGCATGGCATGCTGGTCATGATCCATGTCGTCCTTGTTATTTTTTATGCCCGTCACTGGGAACACCATGTAACTTTCTCCTTCACACCAACAAACAACGATTTTTGGCCTGTGGTGCTGAGTGCCTCGTTACAAGCGTTTTATACTGTACGTGTCTACTGTTATCCTAACAATACATCAATTATAGGACTTGATCCAGATATACACGGCCGTTCTACTTTTCCTTACCCAACAGCTTGCGATTTCGAGAACACTTGTACGCCGTCTGAAACTGACTGCCATTCACGACATCTCCGGCGCATGGGCAGGCCTTGGCTCTGCGCTCAGTAGCGTCTGGCGACAAACCGACATCCCCGCCTCGTGGTGGACGACTTCTGCTGTGGCAACCTACCTTGCCAGCATAACCGTGCTACATGTCACCTCTTCCACTCTCCTACAATTTCAAACTTTCAATACGTCTATGACGACGTCGGTGCCAACAACACTAGGATGGCTAGACGATTCATCGTACGGCTCTTTCGCGAACCTGGGACTCGTTACCCCCGTCCCTACCAGTTGTCAATCATTTGACTGGACTGGTATCTGCAGGATTAGCTAATACCACGCTATACGACACCCTCGAAACAAACGCTATAGCAGGAAACGCAACTGTGAACGCGACGACGGTAACCTCGCATTGCGGATTGATTCCAAATGTGACATACTCTGCGAATACCAGCGCCGCAATCGTTCCGTTCGGGCCAGATTCTTTTCGCGTGCTTAATGCGAGCACTCTCTGTTGGTGGTTATGATTGCGGTGATGTGTTATCATACTGATAATATCTACAGGGCCAGACCAGATACATATAGTTCCATGGGTGGAATATGAAGATCCTTACAATGAAGTCATGGAGGTAAGCGTTCTCCGAGATAGTTCGTGCAGACTATAGAAGCTGAGTAACAAATTGACTCTAGCTCAATGGTGTCTACCTCATGGTCTCCACATTATTGGAGGTCGAGCCTTCAGTCCAAGATGAGGTCGCCGTGAACATGACTTGGGGTACGGTTAAAGCTCGTTTGTGATACAGATATGATAACAATACGTTCTGCAGCTATCCCCGGCGTTGTCACTCCATACGTCATCCAGGTCTATTTCGTGCAATGCTCGCTGTCAGCAAACACTACAGATGGAGTGGTCGACATGCAAACCAACAGTCTTCTGAGTTCCACGTCCATATCGCAGCCATCCACGCAATGGGAAATGAATCAATTCGAGTGGTCGAATACTAGTTGGCAGGCCCAAGTGCGTTTACACCGCTCATTTCGAGGGGCTATGAAAATTCAATAATTTACTGTTAATTTTAGATCGGCAGTGCTTTGGCTACCCCGGACAGCAGCAGCGGGATTATATTTGGCGGTACACCTTCACAAATCACCGAACTTTCTGTTGCGGACGAGTAGGCTAAAAACTTTCCTTGACTGCACTGCTTAAATGTCTCACATACGGCTTGACTTCTAGGTATATCATGTCATTGGTAGGCTTGAATCTCACCGATGAATATTCACAATTCCTATATGACGATGCTCGTCCGATTTCCAATTTCACTTTGAGACCGGATGAACTAGAATTTGCGGTTGCAAGAGCAGCTGCACAACTCATCTGGATAGGTAAGGGATACGTTGTGTTTGAAGTTTTCTCGCTCATTCTGTGTCACATGCTTAGCGGGCCAATTGGGCACATCCAATGGAGGAATTGAGCTCGGCAATGGGACGGCCTATGTCAATGAGGAGTTCATTGCCCTACGTCTCAATGTAAGTGAACTGCACAGATACTGTTTTTGATTAACTGATGAAGCATGTTGTAGATCAACCTTCTTCCTGTGAGTTCGTGGTAGTACATATGCGATGACTACTCATCGAAAACGGTTCTAGTTGGCTTTCGCGATATCTGCATCAGTGATCATGCTGGGACTGGCGCTACACATGACAGGAGCATTCGATGCATCGCACGACATTCAAGCTGCTATCCCGAACATAGGTGTATTGCAACTCTTGTGGTTGGGTCATCGTTCAGCCTCTATCAATGAAGTCCTGGAAGATGTGCAGCATCCGACAGAGGCCAATCTGCGACGAGCAGGCATGATAGATGTTTGCCTTACGAAGACAATGTCTGACGAGGAGGAGTTGGGAGGTTCAACTGATGACGGTCTCTCCTGGTGAGGTCGATCACCATCATAACGACGAGATGTGATCTGGGTTCGGGAATAGAGGGCTGGCAGGCTGCGGCTGCTCATTGATGTTCGAAGAATTTCTACGCGACGCGCGTGCCGGCATCTCTCATGAGGTAACCCGCCGAGTCACCACAAGGAAGCATTGCTGCGTTCTGTGGAAGGGTCCGTTATGTAAATTAGTAACATTGATGTCGTTGCGTTGACCGTGATTCGTGATCCTCTTTGCGTCAGCCTTCAACGTTAACCTTCGATCGCTGGCTGACGTGGCCTACTAAGCCTTTTGCAGGCTAAGTTGATCGCAATTCGGATAGCGAGGACTATGTTTCAAACTTTTGGACCATCGCCGCACCGTCGATGGTGCTCAGAGTCATTGTGTAATGGGCCGAATCATCGACTCAACAGCGGTGCCGAACCGTGACAAATCAATTACATAACGACTAAAACGATTTTCATTGGCTGATTCAGATATGCACTCCACGCCACTCTGATAGGAGTCAATTCATTAATTGCCGCGTACGCGAACAGTCCCGGCTCGAACTTCTTGGCTTGAACATACATATAAAAGGCTCACAAAAATTTACTACAGTCCCCATCTCCACCCACAGTTGAAGTTCGCCAATTTTCTTCAAGCTCAAAAGTCCTCCCATTGAATTCTACCGCCACCACTTGAAATCACTTCCCAAAAATCCATCATTCATCATGGGTCACATCTGGTCAGCGTTCATTCGCGAGACTTTTCCTCCGTCGGCGCAGTTTTTCGCGTCTGATGTCCCAGACATGTCTGGAAAGGTTGTTCTCGTCACTGGTGCTAATTCAGGGATAGGCAAGGAGACCGCCAGAGTCTGTCTCCCATTACCGTGTTTGCCACACGCTGACGTTGTTATTGTTAGGTCCTCCTCACAAAAAACGCCAAGGTTTACGTTGCTTGTCGCGACAAGACCAAAGGTGAAGACGCTATTCGCGACCTGAAGGAGAGCACAGGAAAAGAAGCGTGTTTCTTGCAACTCAACTTGGCAAACCTGAGGTCTATCAAGGCTTCTGGAGAAGAGTTTCTGCGGTACGCTTGCATTGCATTTGTTGAGCAATAAGGCAACTGACACTCCCCTTCAGGCGAGAACCTGTACTGCACGTCCTATTCAACAATGCGTGAGTGTTTCTTGACTTGTCGTCTCATCGTCTGCTCACATGTCGCTCAGTGGGGTAATGACTCCTCCTATGGAGATGTTGACGGAAGACGGTTATGACCTGCAATTTGGCACAAATGTCCTTGGTCACTTCTACTTCACGAAAACCATCATGCCTGCGCTTCTAGCGGGTGCCTCGCAGTCACCTGACGGAACTGCACGCATTGTGAACACATCTTCTAATGCCCACTGGCTCAGCAGTCTAGACTACAATACGTTCAAGGATTCTCCTGCCAGGCAAAAGAAGAGCGCTATGAATCTCTATGGCCAAAGCAAATTGGTAAGTTTTGTCTCCATCATATCAACTTCTTTCCTAAACTCCGTCATGAAAAGGGCAACATCTTATTTGCAGCTGAGGTAGCTAGACGATATGGCGACCACGGGTATAGTCTCGACAGCACTCAACCCCGGTGGTATCAAGACTGAGCTTAGCCGTTATTATGACCCCATTAGCAAAATGATAGGCGTATGTTATCACACATCATTCAACCTTCCAGAAGCTAATTGTTCGATGTTTGTAGAACATGGTTTTCCATGATGTATCATATGGCGCGCTCACGCAGTTGTACGCTGGAACGACTGCAGAAGGAGCTAATCTTAACGGAAAGGTTAGTCCCCTTCTCTCTTGACTGAACTCGAACTCATGTCCTGGACAGTACCTTGTTCCATGGGCGCGCATTGGGAACACACACCCAGACGCACAGGATCCACAGCAGGCTTCAGAGCTATGGAACTGGCTTGAGGATCAAGTCAAGGATCTTTAGGTTCGATCGATTCTCAGGTTGATCATGTCGATACTTTACGGTTGTATGATTGCCTTCAACGTTTTAACACAGACTCTAGGAGTATATAGGCTTGTGTTAGTATTCATCGTTTGGTTGGGTTGATATTCATGCTCGAGGCAACCACTCGATCGTGAGTCGAGTGTTCCATTGCATGACAAAAGATAATTTCTTGCATATATTCGCCTGCAATCATGGTCGTATGATCTCTTATCCTTCTGGACTTCTATATACAAAATCTGGAGCCCTATTTGTTATAACTTCTAACATGATTTATCGTTCGGTCCAGATCGACAATATAATACTCAAGCTCATAAGAAAACAAAATAAAATCGGTTGGTGGCTAATGGATTACAGTGAAAGGAACTCGCGCGAAGGGAAAACGATCGTACTCCGAGTCAAGACCCTATATGCTTCATTCTTTGAAGCCTCTAGTGTGAAGGTAAACATAAACTTCATTGTAAGAAAGAGACAATCCGAAGTATTGTTGTCAGAGTGGAAGGATAATGGGCAAGGGCAAGCCACTAAAAGAACCAGTAGAGTACGAGCAGTGTGATAGGTAATCACGAACTGAACAAGTGGGAAGATACACTGCAATGACTTGAGAAGCTGCATGAACCACGGAGGCATGGATGTTGGAATCGCGCGTAGACGTTGAACCATATGCTTGGGGAGGCGACGAGGGCCATAAGGCGGTAGTTTCAGAGTGAGCGTGTGCTGGCGCATGAGGACCTTGCCCAAAACGATGAGGAGCACCACGCAGAAACTGAGCAAGCTGCCGACAAGAAAGACTCCGCGTGAGAGTGTATGACGTAGCGAAGGTGTTTGGAGTTCTTGCGTAGGGCCATCGACGTTGACAGGAGAACCTGGTTGCGGTGCATTGAACTGGAACCACCAAATCGATCCGGTTATCAACGCCTGGAGTTGAGAAACAAAATCATTCATCATCAGAGGACGGAACGATACTACTGACGATGTGAACTCACTGAGAACAATGTCCAGTTAAGGACGACGACAAGCATCTCAAGAGCAACTTCCTTGGAACTCAAGGTTTCTTCCTCTTCCAACTCTGGAATCAGTCCCTCGACCTTCTCCAAGTCTGCGAACTGCTGTTTTTCCATGTCGCAAGGTTCATGAAGAGGATTACACCTGGGAGCACTTTGAGTTCAGAACAATACAGTCGGAGCAAACCGGAAATGGGCTTGCCTGTCATCCATTTCCTTGATACTACTAGTAAGAAAGGGTTGTGGTCAACGTTCTCTGCGGTCGACGTAGGTGGTATTATGTCTGGAGAAGAAGTACAGGGCACCGAAGAGTACTGCAGTGTGAGTGAGACCTATTAAGTCGATTTAAGGCCAGCCACCATGCTGAGCGAGCGCCACACAGCTTACACAGCTTCCCTAATTATAGTAACAAGATAGTGTTATCTTATCGATCTAATAATATGCTGTTCGACTTTCCTTGATCAACTACATGTATCCTTTAGATCTGCGAAGTCCTTAGCTTTTTTTATGATGTTCCTGCTGTTATTTGCATCAACTATTTGTGTTACGATTCCTCCGTATCGTTGTCTTTTATGCACAATGACAATATAATAATATTGAGTATGAGTACTGAAAGCCATAACAGACGTTATCTTCCAAGACGCCCAAACGTACAACTGCACACATGATACACACAGCTTACCAGATATTACTATAATGTAGCATCCGTTTTTGCTTTTTTTGACGGCGCAATCATGGGGATGGCCTGACCACGAACACCGGTATCAGGGCCGCCGTCAGGCTCAATGGCCCGTTTGCGCTTTTCTCCGCTCTGTTCCTCAGACGTTGCGGCGGACTGGCTTTTCTCGCCACTGCGACCTCCACCATGGCCTCCACCTCTCCCACCACGGCCACCACCTCTACCACCCCGACCTCCACGTCCACGGCCACCTCCCCGTCCACCTCCTCGTCCACCTCGTGATGCACCACCTTTTCGGTCCTGAGAACGCGAGAGAATTGATCGCGCAGCAAAGTTAGCACGATCGATTTGGAATTGTTTCTCTTCTTCATCTGCGACACCAAACAGGAGTGAGGCACGGATCGTATACAATACGGGGAGGGCGACATTACCTTCTGGTATAGACCACTGGACTTCATTGGAATTCACAGTCTTCAGGCTGGTCTTCACGTAGTCGATCTCATCTTCCGTCAAGGCTTTGTCGAATCCGACGAGACCAAAGTCATCCCCCTTTGAGAATTGGATGTATGGTACCCGGGCGAAGCGCTCTCTCAAAGGAGTCTATCGGTACAGGAAGTCAGAACCTTGATAGCCGAAGTGAAAGCCACCAATTACCTTCATCTCCGTAAAGTTAGCATCGCCACCACAGCCAGTGAATTTCATCGTTGCGCCCTTGATATATGGCACATGTTCACTCTTCACGCTGCCTCCATCTTCCTCCTGCACGCGAATCTTAGACCCCATGAACTCGAGCCAGACTTCGGGGTTGGGCTTGTCTTTGCCCTTTTGACCCTTCCCCTTCTTCTCATCCTGCATCTCCTGGAACGCATTGAACCCCTTCCGGCTTGCCATGCTGTCCTTGCGCATCTCGGCGGTCTTGCCAGTAAGACCCTTTTCTTTGATTTTCATGTCGCAGTAGGCCTCCCTAGAGTCCATTAGAGAGAGAAACTTAGAAAGAGAAACATCATACTTGGACATAATCAGTAGCTCCTTACCATCCCAAGATGGTTTAGGATCAGCATTTAGGAATGCTTCCGCGGAATTCATCTCTGCAAATTCAACGAAGACTGATCCCTGCGAAAAATATGAGCACATATGTTTTTTCTTGATTGAATCTATGAAGCATACCTTGAACTGCTTGTTCCCGTCCACACGACGCATTCTGACAGCATTCGTTTCTCCATACTGGTTGAAAAACTCTTCCAGCTTCTTCTGCAAATCGGAGGTCTCGTCGCCAAACCCTTTCTGTAGTGCCATGCATGAGCAAATTTATCGATACTTCGGTGATCCAGCTTACCGCGTAGACACTTCTCTGAAACTGATCCTTCGGTGGTTGTACCTCAGTGCGACGCCTCGCATTTTCACCAGCTTCATCTACTTCCAGCTCCTTGCTTGTCCGTAAGGCCTTCACTATCCACTCATGGCCGTTCGACACATACTCTCGCATGCGCTTGAACGAAGAGACAGTTTTGATGGGTACCCAGTGTTCTGCATTTGCGGTGTGGAGACTCCACATGAACCTGAATCATATCAGCCATGCACGCGGTGCATGATGATCATGCGCACTTATCGAACGGCAGGTTCGAGTCTGCAAAATAGAACTCGACTATGGAGTCGACAATCATCCATCTGCAGAAAGATGACAGAGAAAAAACACATACTCTGCTTGCGAGCATTCTGTAACTTCTCATCTTCACTTTCTTCGTGCATCGCCGTACCCTCTACAGGTTTTTTCTCGTCAGAGGCTGCTACAGGCTCCGTAGACATGGCTTATAAACAAAAAATAATTCAGGAAAGTTGGGAGCAGTGGAGAAAAGCGCTCGGTTTGAACGTTAATAGTTAAACAGATTCGGAGATGAGTCAACAAACCAACTCGCCCGAAATTGAGTACTGAGTGTTGACTTCAGCTTCAGCGCTGGCAAAGAAGCTTGTTTTGCACCAATATATATGTTACTGTAGTTATGCAAGAGTCACATCAGAAAATAAAATCAGAGATTAGATAAGACTGCATCAATTTATCATATCGATCGCGAACTTCGTGCCGGGCAGAACTATTTTGACGTACTACTACTAACAGCGAGTCAATATTCCATTGGAGTCCGCATCATCGTTTGCCATCATCATAATATTCGTGACTACCATATTCCCATCCCCTGCAGGGTCGACCTCTAAAGTCAACGCGCACGCTGCAGTTCCCGGCTTTTCAAGGCCACGTCCCAGTCCGAGCTTTCGAGCGTCTCAAATGTGACATCACACAAAGAAGCCGCCCGGCAAGCGCCTGCTCGTACTTCAACTGCATTCCACAACCATCCAGTGAGCTTTCCATAGCAAAATAGATTGAAACATCCATCGTCCATCCCATCACGCTTCCGCACTCTCCATCAATCGACAGCTGGATCGTTCCGTGACCTAGTTTTGTCACAACTTACAAGTTTTGATTCAAATCTTCGTACATCGTCCCTCCAGATAACTATCGCCCAGATTATTTCCAACCACACCCTCGAACCCAGCTAGTATAATATCAGAACAGACTTAGGGCGATGTTGACATTGTGCGATCCGTGGCAAGACAATTTCGTTGAACAGAGTCTTCGCCCAGCCGTGGAAGCGCCCACACGACTCATTCATACAAGCCATCCATCCCCTTCGTATGGCAGTATGCAGTGGATGCAAGCTACTGCTTGCATACTTGCGCGCAATCAAAGCTGGTTGATTCCGAGCGGTAATGCGGACGCGCGCGTTGGTCGTCAGGTCTTTTTCTCGCTGCAGGTCATCGATTTTGTGAAGGACAAAAAATGCTGCTCTTATATAAAGTCTCAAATATCGATTATGTACGGAGGACCTGCGCCAGACCTGCTGGGTACCGTGACATCGCAATTGCAAGGTTGGTACATACACAAAGATAAATGTGGTGCAGCTGACGGACAGAGCTCGAGCATGACAATTGATTTGCCCAATACTACCCATGCACGTATGCGATGCGCCACAGACCAACAGCAAAAAACACGCAGCAACATAGCATGACGTGGTGGATGCCATTGCCACCGAGCTGCCTCTTCTGCCAGCTATTAAGGGGTCGAGTGCCAGCATGCCATAGCTCATAGACAGCGTCGTCACCCTCTACCTGTACTTGACTTGAAATCCTCGAACTTCGCACCTCTGAATGTCTGTCACGCTACTTTGGTAGGAGACCAAAAAGAAACAAAACTTGCAACTTCTTACTCTGAAACATGGTCAAAACCGGGTCATGGTTAGACGGCATAGGCCGTATAATGTGGGTGGAACAACTATTTAAATCTTTAACGGCTTATGGATATCATAAGCTCATGCTTGACGCCGCCTCCAAACATTTTCCAAGCATTCCGAGGAACATGGTCACGAAACAGCTCGTACGCACCCCAGATGTTCGACGAGTGTATGGAATACTGAAGTTGAGACCACACAGCAAAGTCACTATCAAAGTTGTTTTTTCCATCTGGCGAGATTCAGACTATTGAAATCTCGAGGAAAATGCGGGTGGACAAACTTATTGCTGATGCTAGTCAGACATTAATAGGAACATCGGGACATTGTCCCACTGACATTATGGCACTTCACTCCAAGGATGGGAGATTGGAGGTAGTGATGCATGGAAACCGGAGTATCGGATCGTACAACATCAAAGATGGTCACTCCATCATTCTTCAAGTTCGACAGCCTCAGCGTCATAGAAAGCCAGTCATTTATTTATACTCGCCCTCCGATATCGACGTTTCTGTCAAGCTCTCCCTCATTCCTGAGTGGAGCCTCTCTGTCATCTATCCCGTTGTTACCACGGAAGACCATGGACAGCGTTTAGAATGGAATGTCCACACCCATCAAGATGGGAATCTGACCGAACATAATTCTGGTTTAGATGTGTCGTACTTGTTCTGGGAGGCCGAGTTAGTCCCTTGATGATGCAGAAATCACACTCCTAACTTGTATTACACTTCGCAGGACAAATCCGCAGGCATTTCCCCGGTCGCCCGCATCCAAACCGCAACCGGTGGATACGTTCAGTCCTATATCCGGCAGTCTTGATGATATGGATTCAATTGTCATTCCAGTCGACAAAGCAACTGTTTATCTCGATAAATCACTTAAGGTTTTGGGACTTCACACCGAAGCTAGAACATCATTCATAACGTGCGTATATATGCGCTACCTCGGACTGTCAAATCATAAACACGTCACTAAAATTGCCGTGGCAGCTACTGGCTACCATCTATCCTTAAGCACGAATACATTGCCCTCCGATTCGTCCCTCAAGCGGCATACGAACGCGCCGCTTCCTTAAGCATTTCTCCTCAGCCTGACGTCGTGACTCGCGTATTCATGCTGTTCAGAGGTATCTCTAGGGAGCATTTAGAAAATTGGTCTAATGCCCAGATGCAAGCAGAGAAAGACGTTGCTTGGTGGGTGGATGTAGTTGGAGTTGATCCTGCAAGAGCTGGTGATATGACTTTGTTTAGGGTGTTGGAATGGGGCGGGATGGAAGTTCTCATTTGATGTTCTATCAGATCACTCAAATTTGTGTAGGTGTTATCGCGTTTTACTTTGATCAGTTCTGTATACGTGAGCTTGACGGTGTCCGCGAGATAGATGCATATGATTAAACAGGCTCGCAGTTTGCATGTTGTTCGAAGGTTCTGCAAGGAGCACCGCCGATACTGTGACTTCATCAACGACACCAATGGATGATGAATGCGAGTCTGCAAAGCCAATTAGGTGAAACTTACCTGCAAATTAATGCAAATCAGCTTCAAAAAGTTGGAGCTCTCGCCCCTGCAGAACCCCCCTCAGATGGAGGCTTTCTTTCTTCGGCCTCTCCGGAAACTCCAATCCAGATTGTGCGGGTGTCCGCCTTTGTCGTTTGTCATCGATGCCCTTGATGAACGCACATCAGAACCTGAACTTACCGATCTCATCGTTTCCCTTGCACGGGCTCTTCGTGAGCCTGATCTACCCGTGACACACATCCTGCTCACGAGTCGCCCGGAGTCGCATATTAGCAAAGTCTTTCAGAACAACGAGGTGCGCCTGTTGGTGCGCGACATACCCGTGACAACTTCTTGGGAGGGTGGCATCATCTCGTTGGACGGCTCAGACTTTGACCGGACGCCTTCACGACTTTCACACACAAAGCGCAGCAAAAACGTCGATTATCTTCCGACGCTCTCAAGTACGCTCGTCAAAACTGGACTATCCATTTCTCGTGTGTTCCAAATCTACGGGATGACACGCTTAACTGTAAATTCCATTCTTTCTGGAATCCTCACCTCCTTTCCTGGCTCAAACGGCAGTGGTATTTGAAGGGCAGAAACTTGCAAAGGTACGCATTTTTCTATTATTTTACCCACCCAAATGTCCGACAAGCTGATATAGTCTTGTTCCAGGTTCAGTTTTTCTTTTCCATTGTATGAAACCCCTTTGTAATTCCAACTCATCCTCAGTTTCAACCCGTCAACGTGCAACCCAGTGCAGGGCGGCAACAGAAGCTTCGGCACCCGTGCCCATCTATCACTAGTAGTTGTTTGCCTTAAGATATCGAATGTTCAATTGATAGGCATCGAGAACAATAATGGACTCACCACCATGTTGTATAAATCCGCTGAGCAGAGCCGCTGATATATGACCACGATAGCATCAAGACGGCAGCGCATTTCAGAATATTCTTAACAACCTTTTTTCGCCTTGCCCATACCCATTTCTCGGCGCCGAATGCCACATAATGATCCCAATTCGGTTTGCGAAGCCACCACCACCAAAGCGTCGCAGCCCAAGGGAACGGATTATATACCTTGCCTGTGCCGTTTGTGCGTGCCCAGGAGTGACATTGCTCGAACACCGAGCGGGAGATTCGTTCTTGAACCTTGGCGTTATATATATCTGTGGGTGAAGCTTTGACGGTGAATGATGAAGCGGAACCGCTGAGGACCGGCTCTATCAGTTGAAGGATATATCCAATCTTGTGACAAACTTCAGTAAAAACACACAAAAAGTACACTCGACTTACTTGAACTTCTTCCATGAACAGCGTTGAAGCCGGTATTCCGGTGTTTGGTCCTGTAATTGATACGTTAGGCAACAAATTGATGATAACATGTCCTTTGTGAACTCACCGATTAACAAGTAAAAGTTTGGTATGCCAGGAACTGCAGTCCCGAGGTATGCGGTAGGGCCACCATGCGCATCATAATAGCCTTGGATTGTAGCTCCATTCAAGCCTCGAACGTGCATTGGGTATCGGTCCTGTGTCTGCAGTTGGCATCTTGTAGAATATCAGATCTGTGCAAGTAGCACTTACACTGATGAATCCGGTCGCGTATATGATGACATCAAATGGTAACATTTCACCTAAACTAATGTGAGGAGGGTGATAATGTCGTTGACGGCCTATACATACCAGTTTTAGTGATGATGCCATTCTCCACTATGTTGGCAATTCCATCGAAGTTCAGTGTCAAGTTAGGCCGATGGAGAATATCCAGGAAACCACTGTTTGCGACTGCATGGAATGAAATGAGAAAGAACATATCACAAGTTCAACCACCGCCGACGAACCGGTGCGCTTACAACCTGGAGCTGTGGAACATGTGAGCACTAAGGAAATTCCTTGATCAGACACGTACGATAATTGGGTATCATATGATCATGGTATCTAGTCGGTGCTTTATCGAGGATGTATTTCGTCATCGCCTGACAAAAAACGTTGAGACGAATGCCCGAGACTCTCGCAGCCTGCTCACCTCACGTCGTTTCTTGAGAGCTTTGTCACTCGGGCGCACGATGGAGGGAAAATCGAACTACAACAAACGTTAGCAAGCTAAAACCCTGCAACGTAGCTGGTCCGACCCAGAACATGATCCAAGCTCGGTGCAGTCGCATTGCCAAAGGGATGTTGGCAAATATCCATTTCTCAGTGTCCGAGTACGGAACATGTGGCTTAGATGTTTTGTTTAGTTGTCGAATCATCGAACATGGTACAAAGAATCTCACTCGACTGGTGAACCAGGTCGGAGTGCGGATGAAGTTAATTACTTCGACAGACGGGTCTTCAGATATAAATGGCACGAACTGTGCTCTTGTTGTATGTCACTACCGATTACCTGCGCAAAAGTCATTGTGCGACTCACCCGGAAGAGGCATTTCCAATCACTGCAACACGCTTATTCTGCATATCTATCGAGCTTGGCCACTGTGCGGAGTGAAACGAAGTCCCCTGAAACTTCCGAACTCCAGGAATCTCGTATGGAATCTTTGGGGCCTCCAAAACACCAACGGCAGATATCACGACGTGAGCCATGCTCGACATTCTCTTGCCTGAAAAGGTGTCTTCCACGACGATGGTGTACTGTTTTTTGGCATCATCCCACTCGGCAGATAACACTTTTGAGTTGAACGCGATGTGTGGATATAGATTATATTTCTTCGTGAGCTTAATCCAGTAGGCTTGAATCTCCGGTTGGAGGCCATGCGATTTGTTCCAGAGTGGGTAAAGGTCTGAGGATAAGCTATACCAATGAATTTGGACATCTGATGAGCATCCCTAGAAGACGCTTTGGGGTGAGCGATATTCTGCAGTTTCAGTCATTAACCATACAGGATATGTGTTGGCCTGTGGAAAAAATTGTCAGGAGAACATGTCCCGCGTCACAACAACGTACCCTCCACGCCCCACCGACTTCAGACCCTTTTTCATATATCTATTGAAATACTCAGCGACCATACCACTCGTTGCATGAATACACCCACTGTAAAATCGTGAAACCTGAGCTTAGTTTTGAGAGCAATAGCTTGGGACAACCCGCCAACACTGCGAGCGGATATTCAGTTGGTGTGGAATCACATCAAAAGCGATACTTACCCGGCGCCAATAATGGCGACTCTTCTCTGGTGGTCAATCATGTAAGAAATGGCTAGTCTCAAGACTGTGAGTGTTATTTTAATACTTGCTCACCTAGTACGACAAGGCTTTATCGCTCGAGGTCTATTACATAAAACGCGCGGGACGCTCAGGGACGGCTGTTTGTTTGTTGTACCTCTCCCGAGTATCAGCTGCTACGACTTTCGTATCGATAGACTGGATTTCATTTTGTTCCTTTACTACTTTCGTTTACTTGTGGAGCTGGACAAACAAAAGGGTCACGCTTATTACGATACCTTGGTTGGTGAAATACCTTTCAATGGCAAGGGTGCTCCCTACCACCTGCACACCTAGGCTCAGTAGCTGCCAAACAGCAATATTTAGGTGTTGAAATCCCTTTGTCGTCGTAAACAGTGAGTTAGGCACAAGCGTTGTACGTTCAGCATCGTGTGGACCACGCATACAGTGAGCAGCCGTATGAAATGTCGAGCAAACGATTCTACTCCAACAATAGGTCACAATCATGTATCAAGAAATGTGCGACAGTCACGAGCTGAGGGAGTCAGTGAACCGAGTTGCCATTCTGGCCCGGATACTATTCTGTCCAACTCCAGTCTCCAAAGTGGTTAACACAACAGAATCTAAATCTGTCTAGGACTGTGTCAGTGCAGGTTCGAAACCTGCCGATGTGACAAGGTTCTTCGGAACACGCCTTGAAGATTCACTTATGTTTCCTTGGAGGTTGGTCTTATAACCAGGTAGTTTCCACAACAGCATCAAGATCTGTTCACTTTCTCTTGGACTGCGCAGATTCGAAACCTGCCGAATGGTGGGTCTTTTTCTATGGGAACACACCTTGGCATTGACTCATGGATTGTTTCCTCAGAGATCCATCTAGTTGGTCTTAGCTAAGTGGTTACCACAATAGAGTCAAAATCTGTTTCCCTTGGAGTGGGTCCGAAACCTCCTGACAACATTTTTGTGACGTATAGATCCCCAGAGGTCCATCTTAACTGGGCCCTGTCATTGCGCCGAAAGCTCTTTTTGATGTGGTAATCCGTCCATGAAAAGGAATTCACTTCATGCCCCGCGATGGCTTGAGCTTTTCCCCGAAAAGTTTCCTGGTTATCATCCATAACTACTAGTACGGGCAGAAAATGACTCGACGAGAACCTGATGCCAAGAACTTAAACACCATCCATACGCTGTGGGTCTTGATTCCACCAAGCTTGTTCACTGTTTATTCACTGTAAGTCATCCTCGTTCATCACTCTCAATTTATTAATGCGCTCACAATCTCATCTGACCAAATAAAACCAACCTTTGCGAGTTGATTGTGTTATGACCACTGTTAAACATGCATTGCCTAAGCTTTCCGGTTCACTAAAATGATGTAAACTCGGCGGTGGCCCTTCATCAGACAAACCTCTCAAAGGCAAGGAATGTCGCGGTGCTCAAGCATCTTCCGACTACTGTCAAATCCAACTCTTTAAGTTGTGCTTTATTATTCATCTCAATCATTTGTCAGAACCTGTCTATTGAAATAAATTTCCGCAGCTTTTCTTGAATGTTGCGACGTCTCGCTGCTTTCCAAAGGATACTGCTGATGCATGTACAATTGGTATACCTTTGATGCATTCTCCAAATGATAGTGCATGACATTAGTACTTGTGGGACAAGGTTACTACCGGCGAAGCTCGGCCTTTGTCTAGTATTCTAAGCTTTGTTCATTGCATTCATCTCAGCCGGTGTACTGTACATGTGTGGCATTGGACGATCGGAATTCCTATTAATCACGTATATGGGTTCTAACTTCTCTGGCTGCAACCTGGATTCGAAGTTCAGCCCCACCAGTATATTGAAGGACGATATTGATTATGCAATGCAAAAGGACTTCAGAGCAACAAGTGGCGGGATATCTTCTAGGAAAATAGAGTCTTGCATTACAACACGTGGAGTACCTGCTTGGTACCCGCACAGGTTCAGTATATCAATCAGACCAACAAGTCAGCATTCTCGGAAACTCCTCGAGGCTTCGCATCTTCCAAAATGCCCTCCGTCCCAGTAGTTTCATGAGCAGTTTCCGCGCTCGACTGGGGTTTCATTGCCTCGTTCTTCTTCGCGAGAGCATTGCGATAAATGCTTCTTGAGGCGAGCAGCCTAAAAGTGCCTATCACGATTGCGTGTGCTCCAGCATAGAATGCATAGTACTTAATCTTGGGCTCGCTATGAGCGAGGTACAGGAAAATGATACCCATGCTACAATTGCAAAGTCAGAAGCTACACGTAATAAATATTTGCAGTTCTCCATGGAAGACACCCACCAAAGCATTGCTGCGGTGCGGAGGCTACATGCATCAACATTTAGCTCGCCTTAGAGTTAGCCCATCGAATATAGTGGACATACAGGTGAAGTATGGTGGCGGCAATTGGATTTACGACTTGCATCTTGGGCGTGAAGTGTAGCAAGGTGAAGATACAGACTTTTGTGTTGTATCAGACGAGACGAGGCACTGGGATCACCGGAAGTTGGAACAGCATCTTGTTCACGAATTCTGCATTGTACACGAACAATTGACATCGTGAGCGTTGACGACCAGAATGGCATTCACGTCAGCATCAGCGGAAGCTATCCAACGCCTGGCGGCTGTATCTCCTGTGTGGGTTATAAGTGTATTCCTCAGTGACGATCTCACCACCATTTTTCACCTTCACCAGTCCAATCGAACAGTATCATGTCAAACTTGACCGAGCCCCCTCCACCGTTGACTGAGAAGCTGACTGTCAAGAAAGTGTTAACATCCTTCGGCGCTGGTATCTTTGTCCTGTAAGCAATCAGATCATAGAAAGGAAATTTGTGGTGCGAAACTGACCACCACTCCTTGACAGTTCTAATATCATCAATAGTATCTGGTGAATTGTTAATTTCTTCTTGACTACGATGATCTAGAAATTGCGAGCTAGCATTGCGGTCATTTTCACCTATCTTGGCTCAACCATTCCAGTACTGGGACCATATGCCCGCTATGTTGCTGTCTATACGCTCGGAGTGAGGACCGTCTTTCTCACATGCGCGTTTCTTGTCGGATGCTATTGGTGCTGTCTTCGACTGGTGACACCGAAGCAGGCTGGAAGCAGTATTTCCGAGTGGTGTTCGAAAGCGATAGCACACTCGTGGAATTTCTTGAATCCAAGCAATGGAAAGCTAGGCAGGGCGGGGAGAACATGGTACGCATCGTCCTGTATTGGTTACTTTAACGCTTGTCGGACTGACCAGTTCCGTGTGCGACTAACAGTTATGGTGAATTGCTCATGCTAAACCAAAATAGTGGCTGCTGACGTTCTTGTGATTCCAGCCATCATGGGCGTACTTTACACTTTTAACGGCTTGCATTATTGCTTCCGCCCATCGAAAGAGTACCCCAGTTCGGCAGGTACCAGCCTGTGATGGGTGTCGTTTTCTACATCAGTGGCGCCTGTTTCATTCGAATTGCCTGCGTAGGAAGGGTGCCAATCAAGAAGGGCGCCAGAGGCGAGAATATAACAGTGGGCAATAATGACAGTCAGCCTGAATCGGATGGGGTTACTCCAGCAGGTGAATATAAAAACGACGACACCACAACTCAATGAAGTGGTTATCCTACGGGAAGTGGTAAGTTAGCTGTCTCCCAATGAATTATTGCCTAGCATTGAATATTGAATATTCGTTATTGCAAGGAAGACGGGGGGACGACGATAATCCTAATTGCAGAGGATGACGCGCGTGCATGATCAGTCCGTCTTCCACGTTCCTTCCCACGCGTCATGTTTGAATCATTACTAATTTACATCACTCGGTCGACAGAACTATGAGCTCATGATTTCATTGCTTGCAGTGGAACCGCACCAGCACCATCACTATTTCATCCCTATGCACTGGTCTCGTTGTGTGCTTGAAGTACAGTCGGAACACATAAGCATGCAGGCTTGCCATACTAGCCAACTTGAACTTTGATAACGCCAGACCTAACATGAAGGGGCTGCAGCCTGCATAATTCTATTCCGGAGACCGAGCTCTCGTCCTCTTCATTGCACTGTGATGCACGCACAATAACCTGCCGCTATGAACTGACGGGAATTTCGTGGCTCTAGTAGCAATTGAAGTCAACGTGTTGGCCATGCTTTTAACATGCGGCCCAGGTTCTGCGAAAGTATAAGACACCCATTCCCTTCTTACACTCTTCTCATTGTTCCCTACCGTTTCGCTCACACTGACCTACAACCACTCGTGATGAGTGAAGACCATAGGCTAGATTCTCCTCCAGGAGCCTCCAGATCCAGCCGGGCAAATGCTGCCGAAAGCTCGGTATGTCGTCTCTGAAATCCATCGCTGCCCTTATCCATTTTTCATCTAGAACCAACCTCGTAGGGGAATCCGTCAGTTCTTGCGAAAATTGAAGAATGCGTTAACCAAAAAACTTCCTGTGCGTGGACGTGAATGCTGACTGTCCTGAATACGGCTAAGATTGTGCAGAAAACGCTTCAAGCGAACAAGCAACCGCACCACTGCGGTCCAAAACGTTGAAACCGAAGGGGCTTCATCGAGTCAGAAAGTCGAGGTAAGTGCTTGAACTTGCTGTCCTAGTCCTTCGGTTTTCTTAGAGGCGCCCAGGACACGCTGCATCTTAATCCTTCCGACGACAACAAGCATCCCACCATGTCTGAGATTCCCGGCGACTCTATGAACCAAGGGCTGTCCGGAGAGCCTGTTTTACAGGTATTTTCGTTAAATACTTTGACTTTCTTCTCTAATTTCGGCGGTCCCACAGGTTCAGCCTACTCCTCCTGGCGAGGGGGAAGGAGCCAATCCCAAATTAGTTGATGCTGAACTTCAGGGTGCCTCTCGCGGTACGGAAAGCATGAGACCGCTCAGAGGACATGCGACTTCTATGGCATCCGCCGCCAACAAGGCCCCAGCCGGTCTCGCTGCCGTGGATGATTTTGAGACAACGTATATTCAACCCCTAAAGATTGTTGATGCTGTCCTTGAGAAGATCGCGGATGTACGGGATATTCTTATTGATTTGGAGGGAGCTAATCAAGTTGCATAGGTACACCCGTACGCAAAGATGGCGCTGGGTGTGCTGTCTGCTGCATCTAAAGTACGTCCGGTTTCCCCCGGAGTCCAGTCTCACTCAGAAGTCATGATTCCATGTAGATTATAATCGCACAAGCAGAGCGCGACAAATCGATCTGTACTCTTCTCAAGAAATTAGCTGAAGTTTACCACTTTATGACTCAAGATGACAGCCTTGTCAAAATTGAATCGATGCGCGGTATCGTTGGAAAGATCATTCAGCAGACTCTTGAGTGTGCCCGTTTCATCAGGGACTACTCGGAGACAAAGAGCTTTTGTGAGTCACCAAGCTATCGTACTTCGAGTGTGAATCTTATACTATTATCGCAGGGAAGAGAGTTGGCAAAAATATTCTCTCAGAAACCGACAACATCATCAAACAATACAGCGACACTTTGGACGACCTTATGCAACAATTCCGGGACCAAACTGATCGGGACGTGGTCGTCTTCGTCCAACGAACGAGTAAGGATTCTGACACGCTTCTGTCTTTACATTCATTCACACCGTTTCAGGCGATACCCTGGATCTCGGTGATATCGCTTATGCAAAGGGCGCAGGACTAAATACCATGAAACAGTGCCTACCAGGGACGCGCACGGAGATTCTTTCCCAGATTACGGATTGGATCAACGGCAGTGAGGATGCTGCTAAGCGTGTGCTGTGGCTATCTGGCCCTGCAGGCACGGGCAAATCAGCCATCGCTCACACGATTGCCAAGTGGTTCAGCGACATGGGGGCGCTCGGTTCGTGTTTCTGCTTCGACAAGACCGAGAAACGCCATGAAACAGTTTTCTCCACCATCGCTCGTGACCTAGCTGATCATGATCCGGAGATGAGACGAGCATTGGCGAATGCGGTCAAAGATTCCACCTCACTCAAGAACTCGAAGGATATTTACCAGCAGTGGGAGAAGCTTCTCATGGAACCACTGAAGAAATCCTCTAGGTCAAGTGTGGGACCTGTCTTGATCGTGATCGAGGCGCTGGACGAGAGCGGCGGGGGTAGAGACGCGGCGGGACCTTCTCCGCATACTTGCCGGCAAACTTCAGAGCAAAGGTCTTCCCCAAATCACAGAACTCCCATCCAACTTTCGGATTCTCGTTACCTCTCGTCCACTTCACGACATCGAAGGTGCATTTCACGGTGCTCAACATATTCTACAGTTATCCATGGATGAGATTCCAACAGCAGTGGCGGAGCGCGACATCTGCACTTTTGTATGTGACAAACTAGAAGGGCTGCCGCATTTTGGTGACCAAGAGTTTGGAAAGCTCGCTACGAAAGCCGATGGAGTTTTCGAGTGGGCACGTCTTGCATGCGAATACATTAAAGGGTGCCCTCCCGGCATAGACCCAAGGTCTCGCTTTGGAAATGTCATGAACCGCGATCCTGGGAAATTGACAAACGAGTTGTACAAAATGTATCGGCTCATTTTGGCAGATATCTGGCCACGAGATCAGTATGACAATGACTCAGAGTACCAGAAAGCACTAGTAGGGTTTCGTTCCGTTATGGGACAAATACTCAGCACGGCTGAACCCCTCCCATTTGATTCTCTCACCGCCATGCGGGACTATTTTCCAAATCACAACAAGCATTACAGTGTGGACATTATACAGCATATGGGATCCCTCCTTAGCGGCACAACGGACTCGCATGTCCCCGTCAAACCCCTTCACGCATCCTTCCAAGAGTTCCTCACAGACGAACCATCCAGCGGAGACTTCTTCGTCGAGGTGACGAAGGCGCAACACCACGACTTAGCGTTGGCGTCACTTCGAGTGATGGAACATGGCCTTCGCTTCAATATATGTGATTTAAAGTCATCATACCTCCCTAATCGCGAAGATACCGGACTGCCTCAACGAATCAAAACATCCATTCCCCCACATCTTTCTTATTCCTGTCGATTTTGGGCTACGCATGTTCAAACAACGGACTTCGACGATGAGCTCGCCAAGGCAATGAGATCATTCTTCGACGACGAGCGACTGCTCTTCTGGATCGAAGCACTCGGACTTCTCAATGCAATCAGGGGTGCAATTATTGTGCTTCCACTCGTTGCCAAGTGGCTGAAGGTGAGCACATGCCTGTGAGGCAGTGTCGGCTGAACAGCTCATAAATAAATACAGGGCCATTCTGGGTACGAAGATTTGTGGACCACCACGATGGATGTACAAAGATTCATCCAAGTGTTTGGCGGCATGATCTTGCACAGCACGCCGCATCTGTATTTGTCAGCGCTTCCATTCTCGCCCGTCAACTCCGTCATGGCTACCAAATTTACGGCAAGGTTTCCGAATAATCTTTGTCTAGCATCAGGCCGTGATTTGAACTGGGCGGTTGTTCAGACCATAATCAGTGGGCACACTGGTTTCGTTCGATCAGTTGCGTTCTCACCGGATGGTACTCGCATCGCGTCTGGTTCGGAGGATAACACTGTACGGCTATGGGATGCATGGACAGGACAGCCATTGGGTGAGCCTTTGAAGGGGCACGCTAGTTCGGTTCAATCAGTCTCGTTCTCACCGGATGGTACTCGCATCGCGTCTGGTTCGCATGATAAGACTGTGCGGCTGTGGGATGCAGGGACGGGACAGCCATTGGGTGAGCCCTTGAAGGGGCACGCTAGTTCGGTTCAATCAGTCTCGTTCTCACCGGATGGTACTCGCATCGCGTCTGGTTCGCAGGATAACACTGTGCAGCTGTGGGATGCAGGGACGGGACAGCCATTGGGTGAGCCCTTGAAGGGGCACACTAGTTCGGTTTCATCAGTCTCGTTCTCACCGGATGGTACTCGCATCGCGTCTGGCTCGCAGGATAGCACTGTGCGGCTGTGGGATGCAGGACGGAAGCCATTGGGTGAGCCCTTGGAAGGGCACACTAGTTTGGTTTGGGTCAGTCTCGTTCTCACCGGATGGTACTCGCATCGCGTCTGGCTCTTTGGATACACTGTGCGGCTGTGGGATGCAGGGACAGGACAGCCATCGGGTGAGGCCATTGAAGGGGCACCCTAGTTTGGTTCGTCAGTCTCGTTCTCACCGGATGGTACTCCACTCTCGCATCGCGGTCCTGGTTCTTTGGATAGGACTGTGCGACTGTGGGATGCAGGGACGAGACAGCCATTGGGTGAGCCTTTGAAGGGGGCACACTGGTTATATTTCAATCAGTCTCGTTCTCACCGGATGGTACTTCGCATCGCGTCTGGTTCGGAGGATAAGACTGTGCGCGGTGGGATGCAGGGACGGGACGGCCATTGGGGTGAGCCCGTTGAAGGGGCACGCTAGTTCGGTTTCAATCAGTCTCGTTCTCACCTGGATGGTACTCGCATCGCGTCTGGTTCTTGGGATAAGACTGTGCGGCTGTGGGATGCAGGGACGGGACGGCCATTGGGTGAGCCCTTGAAGGGGCACACTAGTTTGGTTTGGTCAGTCTCGTTCTCACCGGATGGTACTCGCATCGCGTCTGGTTCGAGGATAACACTGTGCATCTGTGGGATGCAGGGACGGGACAGCCATTGGGTGAGCCCGTTGAAGGGGCACGCTAGTTCGGTTTACTCAGTCTCGTTCTCACCGGATGGTACTCGCATCGCGTCTGGTTCTTTGGATAAGACTGTGCGACTGTGGGATGCAGGGACGAGACAGCCATTGGGTGAGCCTTGAAGGGGCACGCTAGTTCGGTTCAATCAGTCTCGTTCTCACCGGATGGTACTCGCATCGCGTCTGGTTCGGGGGATAAGACTGTGCGGCTGTGGGATGCAGGGACAGGACGGCCATTGGGTGAGCCGTTGAAGGGGCACACTAGTTTGGTTCACTCAGTCTCGTTCTCACCGGATGGTACTCGCATCGCGTCTGGTTCTTGGGATGGCACTGTGCGGCTGTGGGATGCAGGGACGGGACAGCCATTGGGTGAGCCCTTGAAGGGGCACACTAGTAGGTTTCGGTCAGTCTCGTTCTCACCGGATGGTACTCGCATCGCGTCTGGTTCTTGGGATAAGACTGTGCGGCTGTGGGATGCAGGGACGGGACAGCCATTGGGCGAGCCCTTGAAGGGGCACACTGATTCGGTTTTGTCAGTCTCGTTCTCACCGGATGGTACTCGCATCGCGTCTGGTTCTTTGATAACACCGTGCGGCTGTGGAATGCAGGGAAAGTGCAGCCATCCCCCATACCTAGAGAACCAGATTCCTCCCCATTTCCCGCTACATCAAAGCTCCGCACCTCCCACTCAAGAACGCTGTACCATGCCAACCAACACTTGTAATGATCACTTCATTTCCTTCTCGTCCAGCCTGGAACACGCCCTGCCCAACCCCGCTGACTTGCTCAAACCCACCTCTCATCATAATTCTCATTCAACTCCTTTCTTGCTGCAGGCTGATGGATGGATCATGGGACCCAATCATCGGCTCCTTTTCTGGGTACCTCCTGCTTCCCGATATCCATTTTATAGTCCTGACACTGCAATGGTGATCCCAAGAGGAGGTGCTGAGCTTGATTTGAGTCGCATGGCACATGGGACACACTGGTCGTGTTGCCGGCATGCGTGAGTTCTTAGTCTTTACCATCTATCCTCGCCGTTGCTGACATCAATCCTTCTAGCTCCACGTAACGATGATTTTATTTCCACAACATCGGGTGTACCGTTTGATCCGTTGATTCCTTGTCAATTTCTATACCTAGCACCTGAGCCTGAGCCGACTGAATGATGTACTCCAGAGGTGCAGTAGTTAATATGTAATACTCTAGTTACTAGGTACATTCACTGTAGCGTTTTCGAGCCCTTTCGTCGTCTTTTGTTTTCGACTTTTTAGTGAACTAATATTTCCACATGAGCCACTGAGTGTTCGATGTCTCAGCGTCTTAGTAAGCAGATTACTGACTCCTTGCATATCAAAGTTGTATCAAAGCCAAATCAAAGCCGACATTCCCTCATTTTGAAAAAAATCTGCGGCCATGCCATTGCTCGCCTTCAGTGCGTGAGTTCGTGCGCAATATAGTTGTTTCATCAACAACGCCATTCTCGACCAAGGACATTTACAATTTGGCTTTGAAACAGACAGCGATTTAACTTGCCTCAGATGAGTCGCCAGAGCACAATGTGCCAAAGAAAGAGCATCCAACTATCGTGCGTAGAATAACAAGGCAACCTTCTACTCGACCACCCCATGCAGAGCATCCCATCGATCTCTACAGTAAGTTGACATTGACATAGGTCTCGGTTGACGCACTCAGTCTCATAGCGCAGGTATTTGAAAAGAGTGGTACTCCCGGACCTAGTAAATTCGAAAAGTTTTGCACCAAACGAACACTCTCGCAAGCGGAAATTAACCACCGACTTCAGACGGTGACCAAAGTTGCGCGGAAGGCACAGGCTGGATTACTCGTTGCACCCCAAAACACCTGGTTGTAGACAATGACGACGCCACCTCCTCCACCTAAGCCCTTGCCCGCTTCTACTCTCTGGAAGTTGGAATGACTAGGATTGCCTCGGCTCATGGCAGGGGACGTAGGTGTCGGGGAAGATTGGAGTCATTTAAACAAGCGAAGGCAACGCTCGAGGAAAGAAAAGATTGAGCGCGATTTGAAGTGGATGTGGACGCTGCAGGCTGCCGCCAGAGGGAAGCTGCACGAGAAACATTGCAGCTCAGTGCTCCAGCTTCATAGTCTATGACATGCTGCAGCACAATTCAGTATTGTCTTCGCACTTTGCGTCGATGCCACTGATTTATTTCGGATCAGTGCAAGGGTTTTGTTCAAATTGACCTCTCTAAACGTGTATTCGTTGCCTCATACATTCACTAGCTCGATAAGATGTCTGCTCCGAATGTGCACATTCAGACTTTTAGCCCTTCCACGACTGCACAGAACGCCAGCCGGTAATAAAGTTCGAACCACTTGAAAGATCACTATGTATAATTACATGGCCTATAGCCTGACACACCAATATCCTTCTGATTGCTCTGGCTAGGAAGACTGGTACTAAGCAAGCGCACCATAAGTCATACAAGTTCCCCACCGCCCATCCTAACAGTATGCAAAACCGCTCTCACCAACTCATTCCATCACCGTCTCGCAATCGAATCGCCACGGGCTTCCGATAATCTCCTCCGTACCAAGTTCGCAGGTGTCTCCAAGCACCACTGTCTCCGGAGGATAAAAGACACGAGGAATTAGGACGAACAAACCTGTTAGAGTGGCTATTCTGTTTGCGGTGAATAGTGGTTGAAATAAGATCGGAAGAGTGCTGGGGAGGTTGGGAGTTGTGCAGTCGCGACACTGTGGTCAACTGGCGAAATGCGGAAGATGTGAACACCACTGGCACTTGAACTTCTTCGGGGCATGCTTTGGTTGTAACGGCGGCGAGGGGATCTGGTTATGGTGGAGTCTGAAATTGCTGATGTGGATGACGCGGATTGTTGGCGAGCAAGTTTTGGACGGGGGGGTGCTGGGACGGCAGTGCGGGTAGACGTGGTGGATAGAGAAGAGGAGGAAGAGGTTAGGGATATAGAGCGGAGTTGAGGTATTGGTGTAGGAGAGGGAGGAGCCATGGGTTTTGGCGTCTCCCGCCTTGTACTCTCTAACGCGTGAGCATGTTGAGCCTCGAGGGCCAAATGAAGTTCCTGGTAATATCATGTTCAGTACGACACAAGGATTATGAAATTAAACATCTTTTGTTAGACGAGAGTTCATTCTGGTAGGACAGACATTCGTTGATGTACTACTCCCATCGCCCAAACTCGGAGGCAAACGTGCAAGCAGTAGAGTTCTAGGACTTTGTGATATGGTTCACCCGTGGAAGGTACGAAGTCATATTGAACGCATTTTGACAACTAGTCCAGAGAAGACGGTGGTCTCCTAGGGTGATGCCTGTGGACATCTAGCTAAATTCTAGGGGAGATCGTCTGAAAGTTGAAAAAGGAAATTATCTCAGAAGTTGTCTAGGACGCCTTCCTTTTGATTGTGCAATGCAAAAGAACTTCGGAGCGACAAGTGGCAGGATATCTTCTAGGAAAATAGAGTCTTGCATTGGAGTACCTGCTTGGTACCCGCACAGGTTCAGTGTATCAATCACACCAACAAATCAGCATTCTCGGAAACTCCTCGAGGCTTCGCATCTTCCAAAATGCCCTCCGTCCCAGTAGTTTCGCGCGCAGTTTCTGCGCTCGACTGGGGTTCCGTTGCCTCATTCCTCTTCGTAAGCGCATTGCGATAAATGCTTCTTAAGGTAAGCACCCTAAAAGTGCCCATCACAATTGCGTGTGCTCCAGCATAGAATGCATAGTACTCAATCTTTGGCTCGCTATGAGCGAGGTGCAGGAAAATAATCCCCATGCTACATCAAGTTTGCAGAGTCAGAAGCTATACGCAAGAAATATTTGCAGTTCTCCATGATGGAAGATACCCACCAAAGCATTGCTGCGGTGCGGAGGCTACAAACATCAAAATTTAGCCCGCCTTAGAGTTAGCCCATTGAATATAGTGGACATACAGGTGAAGTATGGTGGCGGCAATTGGATTTACGACTTGCATCTTGGGCGTGAAGTGTAGCAAGGTGAAGATACAGACTTTTGTTTATATCAGACGAGACGAGGCACTGCCTGTCACTGGAATCACCGGAACAGTATCTTGTTCACGAATTCTGAGTTGTACACGAACATGTGACATCGTGAGATCCGTAGCGTTGATGACCAGAATAGCATTCACGTCAGCATCAGCGGAAGCTATCCAACGCCTGGCGGCTGTATCTCCTGTGTGGGTTATAAGTGTATTACTCAGTCCTGATCTCACCACCATTTTTCACCTTCACAAGTGCAATCGAACAGTATTATGTCAAACTCACCCGAGCCTCCTCCACCGTTGACTGAGAAGCTGACTGTCAAGAAAGTGTTAACATCCATCGGCGCTGGTATCTTTGTCCTGTAAGCAATCAGATCATAGAAAGGAAATTTGTGGTGCGAAACTGACCACTACTCCTTGACAGTTCTAATATCATCAATAGTATCTGGTGAAATTGTTAATTTCTTCTTGACTACGATGATCTAGAAATTGCGAGCCAGCATTGCAGTCATTTTCACCTATCTTGGCTCAACCATTCCAGTACTGGGACCATATGCCCGCTATGTTGCTGTCTATACGCTCGGAGTGAGGACCGTCTTTCTCACATGCGCGTTTCTTGTCGGATGCTATTGGTGCTGTCTTCGACTGGTGACACCGAAGCAGGCTGGAAGCAGTATTTCCGAGTGGTGTTCGAAAGCGATAGCACACTCGTGGAATTTCTTGAATCCAAGCAATGGAAAGCTAGGCAGGGCGGGGAGAACATGGTACGCATCGTCCTGTATTGGTTACTTTAACGCTTGTCAGACTGACCAGTTCCGTGTGCGACTTACAGTTTTGGTGAGTTGTTCATGCCAAACCAAAAGAGTGGCTGCTGACGTTCTTGTGATTCCAGCCATTATGGGCGTACATTACACTTTTAACGGCTTGCGTGATTGCTTCTACCCACCGAAAGTACCCCAGTTCGGGAGGGTACCAGCCTGTCATTGGTGTCATTTTCCTCATCAATGGCGCCAGTTTCATCCGAGTTGCCTACGTAGGAAGGGTGTCAATAAAGAAGGACGCCAGAGGCGAGAATATGACAGTGGGCAATAATGACAGTCAGCCTGAATCGGATGAGGTTACTCCAGTAGGTGAATATAAAGAAGACGACACCACAACTCAATGAAGTGGTTATCCTACGGGAAGTGGTAAGTTAGCTGTCTCCCAATGAATTATTCCCTAGCATTGAATATTCGGACAGAAATGTCTTGATAGGTGCACAAATCAGTACTCTTTTGTGATCGAAATGTTTCAATATTATTCACCTCCTCCGGTCTCGCCACCCACTTAAAGGTCATGATTAGTATCTGAAGAACAGATGAGCCTGGAGTAAATAAAACTCGAAGGTTTTTATTTTGTAGTGACTCACTAGTAGCAGGGCATGGATCGCCCCAGAAGAACGTTTTGTGCCACATATTCGCCACTGATTGTCCCAAGACCTGGTTGGGGCGAACTTCTGAACGAACGCCCGGGTTCTTTGTCAGTGCATGCATCATTTGGAATCGCAAGCAACGGTCACTACTCTGGGATCTTGGAAGCTACCTCTACTTCTCAAACGGATCTGTCAGGACTCATAGGTAGTAAGTTCCCCATGATCATGGGGAAGGAGGGGAAATATACACACAACCACCCATGCATCCGCAGTTGGTTTAGGTAGAATCACGCTTCTGAGTCTCGACCCCCACAGGTACGCAGAAAAACGCCATTAGACTCCTGCCTGTGAACGCCACCTGTTGAATATTCGGTTTCAACCCAAGCCTGGCTGAGCCCAGTCCAAGAGACGGCTGTTCATGAACTTCACGCTGCAAGTAATCGTTCGATACCGATTATCCTGACCGCAATCGCATTTCGTTTCGCTCAGACTCAGGCTGAGGTGACGAGGCTAGACGAGATTGAGATTTGATCACCATAAGTGAGCGCAAGTAACCCGGGCCAATGTTGATTTTCCGGGAGTGAAGATGTACGCTGGTACGATTCAATGACACACACCTGCAGACGAGCGGCGTAGAGCCTATTAGGATGGTGGTCATTCCTGGCAATACTGCGATTGGCTCCTCGCTCACATTCTACAAGATCTCCGTCGCAAAGACCTTGTCGAAGCTGCGTAGATTGGTCGATGCCCACCATTGTGCATGAGTTGGTGCCACCTGGTGACTTGATCAAGACCTGTGATGAAAAGGCGTAGCTCAAGGGCTAGCGGGCCTTCAATTTGGTTATGACGCGCGCCACCGAGAGTCTCGTTCCTTGTTTTCGACCTTGTCTATCTTACCATCGCAGTTCTGTAATAACAATATTATCCTATTCTCCTCCTCGGATCTTTATCTGAGCCCCAACAGCAGACTTAGGGTGTTGCTGACAAGACCCCGCTTCGCTGAGACAGGAAGGGATGAAATCCCTGAATAACAGAGCTGACATCCTTAGTTGCTATGAGGCGTCTGTATAATGAGTGAGTGAATTGATTGATATACGATGCATATATTTGAGGAGAAGAAGTGAACGCCAGTATGTGTTGAAATCATAACAGTGAGGTGAATGACCTTGTCAGCCTCGCGGCGAGTACCGAGAAAGCAGCTTAAGATAGTTATATGTAATCATTGCAAGACGGAGGGTGATACTGCTCTGCTTGTTGAAAGGCTAACATATAACAATTAACGCTTATCGTTTAACCCTGATGATCAATGGCTCGCCAGAAAACATGAAAAAAGTGCCCGCGATAATAGAAGGATCACGCCAGCGTCAAGTTACTTGAGCGCCACCATAACAGATCTGGGATTGCAGTAAGTGACGGACAAAAAGACCGTAAGTAGGATTAGTTTAAGGTATGATGCACGCAGGCCCAACGAGTTCCAAGTGATCCAAAGAATACGACAAAGAAAGAATGTTATGCTACACACAGCAGTGACAATGATCGATTCCGGTATTTATGTTCATGTAAATCAAGTCCGATGCAAGTGCAAGTAAATGGACGAAGAAAAGCTCCCGGCCCATTGAACCCCGAATGAAAAATACAAAAACATTCATCGCACGAGGGCCAGACGCCCGACCATGAGAGCACCAGCTATGACAGCGACCAAGCTAGGCAACGCTTGCGCAAGTCCCAGAGCGTTGCTCATCTGTCGACCTTGGCTCGTACCCGCTAGGGCGTCGGCTAATCCTTTCTCACCATTCGAGGTAGCCAGAACAGAGGGGTCAATGGTCATGGTTGGTCCATGGAGATTCGTGTATGTGGAGGTTGAGAAGGTCATTGTTGAGCTCTGGTCGGACTCGGCCAGCGCATTATCGGTGAGGAATACGAGGGCGAAACCAGGAGCAGGTACTTCGACTTGACACACGTTATTGACCTGGTCACAGGGAATTGTCTGTATGTCGAGTGTGCCAACAAGTCGTCCATCTGATGTGAATGGACCGCCAAAGGTCTGGGAAATAATCAGTCTAGGTGGTCAATGCGGAAACTTGATGTTGTGCACACCTGTCCAGCCCACGTAAAGTTGTATGTTTGAGAGACGGAGTCAGCCAACAGGTACCTGAGTGAGCGTTAAAAGACAATAAATCCATGGCAATACGGGATCACTCACTTGACTTGCACTTGAGCAGGCACTGTTCCCCCGATCGAAATACTCGCAGTGTAGTTGCTATTTCCAGACGGATCCGTGATAAAGTTCGTCAGCGCGACACGGACTGGCTGGCCATTTTCGTAAATTGCGTAACCCGGAGTATAGTCATTTCCACCATTTGCCTGCAGATCCAGGACCTGCGCGACATTGGAGGAGCCCAGCGCTTCTGCGACTACTAGAGCCGAGTAATAGATCGGACCTGCGATGGGAGCATCATTGGCATGCAATAGAGAACTGATGCAAGGTAGCTCATACCGATGGTCCACTGATGGAATGTCGACTGGTTTCTCACAGGCGCTAAGAGACAAAGTTAGAACAATCTTCATCCAGGTAAGACAATTAATACGAACGTGTAAAGGGCTGTAGAGGACAATGGTCAGAGGTTGGATGCCGATAGGACTCGAGTTGAACGTACATTATAATATACGCTCTGCCCACCAACATGGAAAAGAACAGTTGAGAAATTGCTGTATGCTAGCTGGAGAGCATAGTCAATTCCCCACAGGGCAGCCCCGAAGCTGTCGCTTAACCCGGGGAAACCTCCGCAAGACGCCGTATTGGTTTCTGACATTATGAAGGGCTTTCCAACGGATTGCGCATATGCGGCAGCACCGGGGAACTCGTTAACAATGTCAATTCCGGCTTGGTGTGTCAAGAAGGACGGGAACATCTCTTGACCAGTGCGCTCAGTTCCTATGCCAAACTGAGCGTAACAATTATCAGTGGGGTACCTTTAGAGTTGTGAGCCGGACGACGATAATAATAAACAATCTATCGTTCACCTTTCAACACCCAATGCAGCAAGGTTTTGGTTGAAGTCTGTGGCGAACCCGGTTTGCCAGATATCCGGTAGGCTCCACACACCAGCCAGATTGGGGCCAATGAGCAGATTTTTGTTGGGAATATTAGAGTCTGCTTTCATTGCGTCGATAAGAAGACCGAATTCGTCGTGGTAATCCTGAGGGCTATAAGACTGCAAGAGGTTCAACAATGTGATGCAGAATGCGGCCAGAAAACCCTACATTCGGTCGGTGACCGTGTCGTGAATAAAGATCAGGCTCATTGCCAGCCTAAAGCAAAAACAAGTAATCAGAGACCGGCGTATTATACGTCAGGTTTCCAAACCTGTAGACCAATCAGATAACTTCCAAGCATCGCCTCTCCAACTTCAGCGATCTGCAAACGCCAATTCTGAGTGTCATTGAACGGCACACCTGTGCAAGAAGGTCAGTGACAACAAGAGTATTATCACGCATCGCATACCCATGTACCAATAGACATCAGTGAGTGCAGATATCTCGGCCATCATTTTGATGATCTCGTTTGTGAAGACAAGGGGCGGCGTTGCTGTCTTGGAGGTGTTCAGTCTCGGAATAATTGAATAAATAAAATACACAAACAGGGTTAGATGACCCCCCGTAGTCCTTCTCGAGAGCAGCACCGTCCGGGGGTACTGGCCACTAGGGTAGCGGTTTCTTGAGTATTACCACCGACACGAACCTTAATGCTGCCCCCGCGTTCTCGCAGGTTGGCCATAAGGTTGAGAAACGGCACTTGCAGGAAAGAACTGCCGATCGGGATAAATATTAGAGTCCATATTAGTAACCGAATTTGTTACCTGTTCAGCCCGACTACAAGATATGTTTAACGGATACAAATGCAAGTGAAGGAAGCACTCACGGACTTGCGTCGTAACACTAAACTCTATACTGAAGCCAAAAAATGAACCTTCTTGTTGAATTGAAAGTCCCGAGAGATTACCCCCAGTCTGCAGCTCTACACCGAACTGAGTGGGTGGGGGAGGATTAGGTGGGGCGGGTGCAGTTAATATTGTTTGATCGTATGAAGCAGCACCCGTGTATGAGGCAGAGGCAGCCGTCGTGGTCCCAAGTGGTGACTGAACGTGTGGGCCATAGGCAGTAATAGCTGCCCTAGCAAGGCCGAAGGAAAATATTAACGAATGGACGAGGAGAAGATGCATTTCAACGAAATGTCTGAAGCCATAAAAATTTATCAGCTACCCGTAGATCATTTAGTAAGTGTGAAGGAGTACCAGTTCCTCTAAATGGCGATTCCACCCCGTTGGAAAGAGTTGAACGTTAAAGACCAAGGTGCTCCCGAAAAATGTCACTACAGCTTATAGCATTTTCGGAGCCTTTACATAAAGGTCAAAACAAGCGAGAATAATTACTATTAGCGCCAATATAAATCACGGCGGATGCCGGAAACAATGCGGAAGCGAATGTTTTATGCACCCACTGGCAGTCTCAGACATCTTTCCATTGAAGATGACACTTATGTAGGACAGTACTTTCTAACCTATGGGACCTCAGTGTCCCTTCCGATTTCTGAAGTCGCGAATGCCCTGATAAGGCATGCCCTCACTGTCAGGCCGGCCGTTTTAGACGCACCCTTCAACGAAGAGATGAATTTAGTAGCTGCTATTGGTGGACGCCATTAGTTCAAGGCTCGTAGAAATGCCAAGACTCGTTTAACACACAGACATGATTGTTGTCTACTACGCCGGTGAGTCATGGGGTTGGATGAAAATGACTCCTGCTCACATGTGTAGTAGGGTCGTATTCTACTGCTTGAGATTTGAAATCTACAGGCAGCAGGCAGGTGTGCCTTCGCAGTTGCCGCACATTTCATCAACGACAGGCATAGACACTGTCAAGGTGAAAGCAGTAACACGGCAAGTATGAAGGAGAGACGCCTTGTTTGTGAGGTGTAATATGGGATCCCAAAGATCAAGTTGAAGGGGACGGTAGGAGGATAGCCTGCTTTTATGTGCTGAATACTAGTGTTCTGTGCAGAACCTGCCCACCTGAGATACCTCTTCAAACAGACGACATTTGCATTGCCAGCAAACTTCAGATTTGACTTGCTCCATGTCCCTGGCAGAAGAACACCAGGAAACGCTGGTAATATGCAATCCTGGCAACCCGTTGTTGTATACCAACCTTTTTCTTTCCGCGTCTTGTGGACGATGAAGGTTCTATGTCAGGGCTGAACGGAGGTTGGATCCTGAATGTGCGTATCGGGTATGGGTGTCTCTTGATGATGATGGTGGTGGTGGTGCCCCTGTACGTGAGCCATTGATAGTAGTCGATGGACGAATGGCGTCTCCCCTTTCTATGTCTTTCATTAGCCTGGATAAGCTTCCTAGAGTGAGCGTCGAAGACCTTCTCCGCGGAGGCGTGTGCGAGGCGGTGACCACGCTCACGCTGCTAACCGTCGTATCCTTGACCCTCCCAGGCACACGTAATTCAAGAAAAGTGCGGGAAAAAGGGTCCCCCGCATTGGATGACATTGTTGATCGTGGGGTATGCGGGGGGTGAGTACCCCTTGGGGAGCCCTGAAAAGATGCATCTGAAAGTGGTGGAGTGGGGTAGGGGTGAGGGGCTCAGCGGTTGGCGGTTGGCGCTCGAAGTCACTGGGAGAATGGATTTTCTGATGATGAATGTGATGCTGCTTCACGCTTCCTTGCCTCTCTAGATCCCTCATCCAACCCTTGCACTCCATCTCGCTTTCTCCATCGATTTCGCCTGATTCCGAGTCCGAGCATGGCGCAAGATAACTACTGGAAGATTCAGGACTCGTTCCTTGCGAGAAAACGAATCGCGGATGTCATGCAATGAGGATTCTTGGCGGGTATGTCCGGACCATAGGAGTGCGAGGTGTTTTCCAACATACCTGCCAGCCTTGCGCGCGGTCTCGACTGTTTTCTTACGCCATTCTAGGTATGGAAGAGAGTCGTATGGGGAGGAATAAACAAAAGGCGTGAGAGCGGGAGAAGAGACATTGTTCCAGTAGATTGCAACTGTGATGATTGAAGAGGTGGAGAGGAACACGCGCCATTCCAGGTGATTAATCCCTTCCCTCTTTGGCCCTCCTTCCAGCGCTCAATGCTCGGCTTTCAACACCACTCCAGTGATGCAGTAGTGAATCCAGGCGAAAGAGCTAGAGGGTTGGAAAAGGCAGACATCAGAATCAGATGGATGTAACCTTGTCGTCCAGGACTTGTTTCTGCATTCTAAGCTTAACAAATGCATAAACGGAAGGAAGAAACACAAGTAATGGAAAGTACGCAGTTGATGCGACTATATGAGCTATAAATGAGAAATTTTGATCAAAAGAGTAGCGTGCTATACACCCATGGAGAAAACGACAGTCCAATTTGTAACCTTGATAGCCGCAAGCTTCAAATTGAACAGCTGCCATTCATCAATAACGCACGCAGATCGGTTGGTCATCAAGGCCAAAGAACCCATCGAAGAAGTTGGGACCATGTTATGTGCCAAAGAGGTCCACGACTAAAAGCAGCTGGGACGGGTAGACGACGTGACAGGCTGTTACGAGGTTGCATGGCGGTTCTGGTCGAACTTCCGTCGAAGGGACTTGAAAGGAACTGAGGGTCAGGTTGTGAAGAATTTGTCTTTTCAGAGAGTGGATATCGTTGGGTTATGAGTGTTAACGCGGTGGGGAACAAAGTGAAAGTTCAATTGTACTCAATTGCAAGTCTGCATCGTCTAGTTTGCATCCGTTTGTCAGACGCTCGAATTTCGTCCACGTCGAGTTTGAGTCTGGAATAGGTCTCATTACGTTAGTACCACGTCAGACACCCCTCGGAGTCAACCCCGAGTCTGTAGCGGCTAGCCTGTTGCCACCGGTAAACTGAAATCACGAGTTCTCATACCTCTGTCGCGTATAAATAAAGCTTGCTTCATTATCCTCCGGCCCCAACCCATTTTGAATTGGCAGCACAAAGACAATGGCGCCTAGACCAATAGTAGATGTCAACCAACAGACAGTTGCTGATATGAAGGCAGCACGTTCACGAACCTCGATCAGCGTCCAGGCTGTCAGAAATTATCTATATGGTGAACAGTCTAAGACATCCTAGTTCTTGTAGCGCCCTAACTTCGCTCAGGTGGACAGCAAGTGTGGGATCTGCATGAACGCCTGGAAAAGATTCTTGTGCAAGAACCATTATTCGACAAACAGCACAGGTGAGTGTCAGCTATCTTGTCTTTCCTACAACTTATTCTCTCAGGGACTTTCTAGGGCGGACAGATCAATTCGTCAGAGCTGCCGCCATCATAAATAGGCTGGATGAGTTACGTCGGATGCATAATTGGTCTGAAGAAGAATACAATACAGCCTCGTCACTTCTTTCGGAAACGACGTCGACCACACTACATGACCGCGGTATGTAGATGTATGTCCTTCACGCAGACAGGACACTCATAATTTGTGTAGCATTCCAGCCCATTTTCGTCGGTCAAGGATCTCCCGCATTGATGGACAACTATTGGGATTTGGTGTATGAGAAGGGGATTCAAGGGTGTGTTGCCTTCAAGTCATTTTCGCCTGAACTATACTCACTATGAAGCTTTAGGTGTTATTTGCAAACCGAACTTGGTCACGGTACAAATGTAGCTCGTCTAGAAACTACTTCGACGTATATCCCGGAAACCCAAGAGTTCGAAATAAACTCTCCCAGTCTTACGAGCACTAAGTGGTGGGTCGGTGCTCTGGGAAAGTCCGCAACTCATGGTGCTGTCCAAGCAAAGTTGATCTTGCCGGATGGGAAGGATATGGGCCCTCACCTCTTCTTCGTGCAACTGAGGTCATTAGGTTTGCCTGGCCAGTATTACCCAATTTATAGCGACACTGAATACTTTTGCAGAGGATCATAAACCTCTTCAAGGAATCACTGTGGGCGATATTGGTCCGAAAGCTTCGGGAGGTACGTGAAATCTCAACCCATTTATAATGCATTATCTGATGTATTCGCTACAGGCATGGCTTCACAAGATCAAGGCTTCGCCAGATTTGATCACGTACGGATACCCAGGACGAACATGTTCTCAAAGTTTGCTGAGGTCACGACGGAGGGTAGTTATGTCCAACCTCCTCACGCAAAACTCAGCTACGGAGGAGTAATCTTCTTCAATTCGTCTTGATATTGATATCACTGACACGATATGCCAGATGATGTATATCAGGGCAACGTCTGTCAATTCTCTGCGCTTCTGCCCAACAGGACTAACAATATAATCCAGCATGATACCAGCGTCCGGATGGACCATAGCCAAAGGTAGAGCTCTAAGCATCCAGTGTAATCTCCAACCTAATCCTTTCGCAGCTGCAACAGTTGCTATTCGTTACACGACTGTCCGGAGACAAGGCGAACTAGATGCAAAGGGACTCGAACGCCAAGTTTTGACATACCCTTCAACGTACTACCGCTTGTTGCCCATCCTCTCTAGGGCATTCGTGTTCATTGAGCTCGGGAGGTATACGGTTTGTTCTACTTCTTCGTCCGTTAGCCCAAGTACTCACCTCTGCGATGGTCAGATCAAAGCGTTGACTCAGATGCAACAGCGACTTGCAAATCGAGACACTTCCCTTCTCCCAGAGATGCATGCTCTCTTGTGTGGCTTAAAAGTCTTTGTTACTACACATGGAATCGCTGATATTGAAACCGCTCGGCGTTCTATGGGTGGACATGGGTACAGCGCATTTGCTGGACTTGGGCGATTATACATTGAATACCTCCCCGCCGCGACGTGCGTTTTGCCTTCTGAGCGTCAACTGATATTGAAGAGGTACCCAGGTTCGAAGGGGACAACTTTGTCCTGGACGGACAGGTAGTACGCGCCGCTACAAAGTTATGCAAAGCTGTGCTTTCGTCAACCACAGATGTTTCCACGCTTCCCCCTTCATCGGCTTATTTGCGCCTGTTGTCCACAACTAGCAAGGCCCCTCCACAAGTCACAGCATCAACTTGGCACGATGTCCAAAGCGTTGTCCTTCTTCTAGAGTGGCGTGCTGCTCTTATGGTAAAGAACTTCACCCAAACGCCAGCAGGTGGAGATGTCGATGCGAGCGTCAATCAGCGCTTGGCCAAAGCCGTAACAGAGGCTTTTGTCGCCGCGCAGGTCGGTGAGATGATCAACAATCTCGCCAATTTACCTTCGGAGGACGCGAAGGCTGTCGGCTGCCTTTATAGGCTGGTTGGTTGCCATCTTCGTCACTGCAAACGTTCTGATTGCATCATTTTAACAGTACTTACTAACGTGTGCTGAAAGCGCTCTCGTGGATCTCCTTTCGGTTGGGTTGATTCGTCATACGGGTGCTGGCGATCCTACGCAGGATCTCCGTTTAGCCGTCAAAGCTCTTTGTATTGAAGTCCTGCTCAATGCCATTGGTCTAACCGATGCTTTCGGCTTCTCGGACTGGTCCCTAGATAGGTACTTGTAAACGGTATCTGTATGGTTGACGTACTGACTACGTTCGATAGCGCACTGGGAGTCTTTGATGGCCGTGTTTACGAGGCACTCTGGCAACGAGTGCAGATGGAGCCGATGAATAAGGATGAAGTTACTCCCGCTTATGCTGTAAGTCTTTGTTTGTTATTTGGTTGTCATTTACTCAGTCAACGTAGCCTTATATTCGACCCATGCTACAACGCGGGCAAGCTGCGGCTCAGGAGAAGATGAAACTCAAAAGTAGACTCTGAAATTACCAATGGTATACCCACAACAGCCCGCCATTTATGAGATGTACGTGTTCCTCCCTAGACACATGTTCAGACGAGTAATTTGCGCACTACAGGATGTTCAGCACCAGAGTAGTAACGTAAGCTAGCATGACTTGGATCCGTGCCATTTGTAAGGTATCTTTACACATACCAGTGTTCCTTTATCTTCAGTTAAATTACTACGCACATACCAGTTGTATTTGAAATCGATCTATGCAGTGAGCTGATACGATAAGTGCAAGAGCCGTCTGCGACAGGTCGGAACATTGATGTTAGCAACGAGAATAACGGGAGTTGACCAGTACGAATTTGAAAATTCATCATCGACGTATGTGTTGGGAAGACTAGCATGAATAGAAGGGACGTCATGCATCAATACTCAAAACCTCATCCGCGACCATGTTTATCCCAACGATTGAAATCTTATCTTCTAGATTTCAGAGGCGCTTCATAACGACCATTCAGTCACTGTGTTACGCCCCTGCACTCGAAATAACTTCAAAGGCTGATAGTGTCCAGTTGTGCGGGTCGTTCTCTGGCTGGCCGGTAGTAAACATGACCGGTAGCGCATGGCGCCTGATCATACTATCATCATGATAGGCCCGCCTAGGGTGGAGTGTAGATCGAGAACCAAGCGACAGGCTATATCTTCTTCAGCATGTGTTGCGTGTTTCGCCGGTCTCGAAAAGGGGGTCGATAATGCTTTGGCTTTAAGGTTCAGACCGGGATAGCCTGGCTCACTATCAGGCAATGATATCATCCCCGTACTCTGCGCGAAGTCCTGAGACCCATTTTGGGTGGTTCAGCGAAGATGTACTATGTGATCCTTAACGACCATTCAATCGCATTCCATCAACGTGTCACGGAAGTCTTCTGCACGCTCAAAGACCCCAGTCATCGCGCGGAGGTATTTGACATCCTCACCGAGATCTCGGACTCACCTAAAGAAGATGCTCGTGTTTGGTCTTACGCTGGAGGATGAGAACGTAATCTTTCTTGTTGGTGGTTGGCGGAGTGTCGAGGTAGGCGTTGAGATTATCGCGATTTTGGACGTGCTGACGCTGGGACCGTACCTGTTCTGCACTACCTTGACCCCGTACAAATGAAAGATGAAAGTAGCAGTTGTCAGTTAAGGTGAGGTCGCATCCGAAGTAAGGATCGTATGTCAGAAGGCAATTCTTCGAGAGATTCACCAAGCGGAGTGAAGACATTTGTTGCGCGGTATCTGGTTCAAAAACTGCTGATAAATGGTCGGTACAGTGAGTACATAGCACATTTGACGTAAAAGTATATCATTACCTTTTGGAACAGTGACGACGAGCAAGGTGATCGGAGCAATGAGAATCTGGATGAATGCAATGTTGCCCTAGTTTGCAGTCCTGTGGTATATGCAAGAAAGGGAGCGGTTGTGAAAGCCAGTCATCTTGGCCTGCAAATATAACAAGTTGCACGATGAATCCGATCACCATGGCAGAGACTCGGAAGAGCCTGGGAACGTCTGAAATATGGGTTTATAAGGATGATCGATGTCGATGAGTGCTAGAACGCTGAGCGATTGCCGATGCTTCATGCAATTCACAGTGCCGCACACTAACTTCATGAACAACAATCTACTAAGACTTTATGGTGTTCAGAATCAAACGTTCATGGTTGAAGCTGAAGGTCACTATTGACATTAAACTTTGACCATGAACGTTGAACGTTTGATTCTCCGCCACTTCTGCCACTTGGCAAAACTATCAAAGCGCTACAGGGCTGTGCATACGACAGCATATCCACATCCCACTGTCTGTTGTCGTGTGAGGTTCGTTTCCATCATCCAGCAGCTACATCAATATTGATGCTTGCCAGGTGCTGGTGTGCATGTGCGCATGACGTCGACGAATTGGCTTGCATGTCGTGAGCAAGCTAGTAAGAAGTGGTGAGTTTCGCTTGTGAAGCTTTGAAGGGCCGCGATGCCACAACAAAGCCTGATGAGTGGCTGACTAAGCTACAGTGCTACCTGGCCGCTACTCTGCCTGGGTCCCCTACTTCAATGTGGGCAGCATGGGGAACAATAACAGATGAGAGGGTGATTGCAAGTGCCTTCAAAGGATTCAGGTAAGGAAGTGCGGTTGCTGGTGAAGAAGGTTAGTATTAGAACATCTTTCGCTGTGATCCCTGTCACGGACTCACGGTAGTTTGACATCCTGCCGGATTCTGTCAGCGGAGTTCTGCCATCTACCAGGCAGAACCAGTTCTGAACCAATCACGAGGTCAACAGGAGAGTTTAAATTTCAAAGCTGGATTTCGTCATGCTTCTGTTCGTAACCTCACTGGCATCGACGTCAGAACGAAGGTATTGTAGTTGAATCCATTTTCAAGAACAGAGACTCTTCTCCGACATGTTTTGATTCATCCTTGACAGGGCTCATGTACTGTGGCTATCGCTGCAGGCCTAGGATGCAGTTGTGCGCTCATCCCTGTAGCTGTGCCTTCACCGCGCCCACCACGCTTGGATCGACAAAACACCTTTTCCAGTGATAGAAACCATATCAAATCGATGAGGTCGGAATTTCACTACTACCTAAGCAAGTTGTAATGTCAGTCACCCGAAGAACAGGCGTCAGACGTGTGTGTTTCTGTTGGTTATATGCCACGTTGTCGTCTCACCTTGTGCCAGCTTTTTCGGAGAATGTCGCTCTGAGGCGTTTCACAAGGTAAGTTCGTGTCGGTCTCCAGTCCGTTCGTTGTCTCATCGTGTAAAGACGTTTTACCGGATTAGGCCACCAAGGCCTTCGAAACCGTAAATTTTCAGTACTTGTATTGGAAAGTGATTTTGTCAAGCGAGGTCATTACCAAACCAGCCGATGGTTGAATTCGAATACGCTCTTGAGCCTCAACAAGACATTTCTATTACCCCAAACTCCCAGGCTTCAAACCTTAACCCTCCAGCGCCAGTACCACCAGTTATGGAGACAGCTGTAACATCTCACTATGATATTATGGACACGGTAAGCAAGAAGCAGGCTTGATGCGCCCTTGCGGTCTGAGTCACCTCTGTTGTTGACTGTCAAATCTCTTGGGACGTGCTGCGGCTGCGTCAGAGCGTAGTAACCTGCCAGGACAATGAGCTTTCTAGGAGTGAATGAACACCGTTGATTTTTGGGGTTTGTCACTGGTACGAGACAAATATCATCGGCTTCAAGGCCGCTGTTCGGCAAGGTCCGAACCGAATTCAGACATACTGTCATATTACAGCTACGAGATATCTTCATATCGATAGACCATGACTTGATATCCTCAACGTTGTCCTTCTTCTGGGGTGGCGTGCTGTTATCATGAAAAGATCTATACGCAGGCGCAGGCGACAGGAGATGATGCGGGCGTCAATCGACGCTTGGCCAAAGCCATAACCGAAGCTCTTGTCGCCACGCAGGTCAGCGAGATGATCGATAATCATTCGATTCTCAGAGCCTCAGGCTGATGTCAAGGTTGTCGGCTGCCCTTATTGATCTCGGTAAGTTGCTATCTTTGTCACCTGCAGACATTCTTGTCGATAGTATCACTCTTATGGTACTTACTAAGGAAGTGCTGGCAGCGCTCTTGTGGGTCTTCCTTCGTCCGTCACGGATGCCGGTGATCGTACACAGAATCTCCATCTAGTCAATGAAGTTTTGAAGCTCTGCACATGATGCCGCTGAACCAATAAATGTTTTGGCTTTTCAGACTGGTGCCAGGTTTGCGTAATCCATATCTTGGCTCCAGTCGAGGAAATCTCCGGCGGAACCAGTTGGAATCTATGGTCCTATGGTTATCCACGTTCGTGCGTCACACATCCAAAAGGCCACTGGCCCTGAACCCTACCTCACGGCTAAACCCCCAAGTTGCCAACGTCATCCATGAACACGAAGAGTGGCTGATCGGATGGTTTATTCCCTTTGAAGACAGGCGAAAGTACGGAGAATTCTAAATTTCAGAAGGGCGAGCCGAGTGTTCAGGCTTATCCGTTCCTGACAAGAGCTTTCGTTGGATCGACACTGTTGCCAATCCGTCTCCTTGGCATCCCCGTTCACAAGCTGACAGAGCCCTGTAGTCTGGGATGGCGGACTGCCGCGGGTGCGATGGATATGGCTATGCTATGACTGCGGCTTTCGCTGTTGGCTATATCTGTGCCATTCTTCACACGTGCCAAGCTAAGAGTCAGCGGAACTGAAGCTGAAGAGCCGTCCGCAATCATGATATTGATGGGCCGTAACGAGACTTGCGCTAAAGATATCACGCACCAGAGTCCCGTTTGAAATTCATCGACCAAGGTATATATACGGAGGCACTGTTGTGAAGAGTATCTATTCCAAAAGCTTCACCCGCACTCAAGTTATGCCTATTCCAACGACTGAACTCGTCATTTTCGACACCACAGAGGCGGTTCGTAAAGACCGCTCAATTTTGAAACCTGCATTCGAGCTGGTTTCAAAGTTTAATGGTATCCAGATGTGCGCGTCGTTCTCCTGCTAGTATATATTACTTGTAATGCAGGCGCCCTGATCATACTATTATTGCAACAGGCCTTCCTACGTTGGAACACAGATCGAGAATCCTGCTAAAGGCTGTGTCTTCATGAGTATGTGATACATATTTCGGTAGTCTTGAAAGGAGTGGGCAATAATCCCCTGGCTTCAGACTGGGATAGCCTAGCGCACCATCAAGCGATGATGGCGTCCCCCTTGTATGCGACTCTGCTTGAACATTTGAAACCCGCATATGGGGGCTGGTCGAAGATGTACCATGTGATTTTCAATGCCAATCCCATCGCACTCCAGCAACCTGTCACGGAAGTCCTCCTCCTCACTATCGAGAACCCCAGTAATCGCACAGAAGTGTTTGACATCCTCACCAAGATCTCAGACTCAACTAAGAAGATGCTCGTGTTTGGTCCTTCGCTGGAAGATAAGAATGTGATTATTGTCGTTGGTGGTTGGAAGAGCGTTGAGGTATGCGTAGAGATTATCGCAATTTCGGACGTACTAACGGTGATGACTTCTAGGCTCATTGGCAAATGGTCGCTAAGCCTGAGCCGAAAGCTGCGCTTGAACGGCTGTACGCTCTTGCCAACAAGGACCATCTGTTCCACAGCGCCTTGACCTCCTTCACGGGGAAGTAGCGGTTGTCTGTTAAGGATACTGAGGTCGAATTAAAAGCACGCAATTGTACATAGTTTCTGTATCACAAAGTCTTCGTGACGGAACGCTGTGAGGGAAGGTAAAACAACACCTTGCAAGGCATGTCCTGACTGTTCATCAGCTGACAGGGCTTCGGTCAGCTGCCAGTGAGCCAACTTGGTTTTCATTGATCGCATGATCTCTGACATCATCAAGGACCCACGTTCTGTAATTCGTATCTCTGTCTGAGTAAAATAGTCAGGGGTTTTCGTTACGTTAACGATAAGATTGTTTGGAATTGCTTACTTTGTAGTGGTAAGTAGCTCCGCGTTGTATTCAGACCTTCATCGATATCTATCATCATCGATGTCAGATCTAGTATTAAAGCTTAAAGTGCTGGGCCCTCTGGCCCTCGTAATAGGCCAGGCTACTGCCAGCCAGTCTAGGTTGTATGTGGGGCAAAAATTCAGAGCGCACTATCCAAATTTAAACCCAGTTTTCAAGTTATGGTTTACTGGTACAGTCCGTCTATCGTTAGACCGGTCACGAGTCCAGTCAACGTCTCACCCCTGTCACTGGCAGGTCGTCTGACATTAATGTTGCAAATTCCGTAAAGTATCTACACACATACTTGCAATGTACCGAGCCAAATTAATAACTGTGTACGCACGCACTACATGTTCTCAAAATCAGTCCTCCAAGTTAAATTTAAAGCTGTAGGTAGGAGCAATCGGCAGTCCACACGAGACTTGGAAATTCGAGGCTCGGTTAACGGGGGATATTACATAAGGGGCACTTCCCAAAACTTCCCAAGCCAACCACGTCTACTAGTATCCCAACGACTGAAATCATTATCTTCGACACTTAAGAGGAGTTTCGAAAGGACGTTTGAATTCGCCCTGCATTCGACATAGTTTCAAAGGCTGATAGTGTCCAGATGTGTGTATGATTCTCTTACTGGTAGATATTATTGGTAGCATTCAAGACTGCTTGATCATACTGTTATCGCAACAGGCCCGTCTTTCTCAGTACATGCGTGTTATACATCTTGCTAGTCTTTGAACGGGGGCCCGTTATGCCCGGGCTTTAGACTGGGATACCCTACCGCACCATGCCACATCAGGCGTTGATGGCTTCCCCCTCGTACCAGGCACGGTCCTCTGCTTGAAGTTCTGAAACCCGCCTTTGGGGGCCCGCCGAAGATGTATCATGTCATTTTCAACGACCATCCTATCGCATTTTAGCAGCCTGTCACAGAGGTCCTCCTCATTACCCTCAAAGCTCCCAGTCATCGCGCAGAGGTGTTCGACATCCTCAGTAGGATCTCAGACTTAACCAAGAAGATACTTGTGTTTGGATCTACACTCGAGGATGAGAATGCGCTTATTCTTGTTGGCGGCTGGGCGAGCGTTGAGGTAGACGTTGATATTATCATGATTTTGCACATACTGATGCTGTTATGGACTTCTAGGTTCACTGGGAGATGGTTGCCAATCCTGAGCCGCAAGCAGCGATGAAATGGCTATTCGTTCTTGCTAACAAGGACCATCTGTTCCATGCTGCCTTGAGCTCATACGCAGAAATCTAGCGGTCGGCAGTTACGGTTAACTAAGGTCGAAACCAAAGCTCTGCATCGCAAAGTCCACATGACGGATTTCCAGAGGGGAAATGTGAAGCATCGAAGACACGCCCTGGCTGTTTATTGGTCGGGGTTGCCAGTAATCAACTCCGGATCCGCTGTGCTGACGCACTTAACTCGTCATTTTTATCGATAGTTCTTGCACCATCGAAGCATATTCTAGCCTCTGGGACATCCAAGGCACAAGTCGAGCTCGTACCCATCGCAATCCGCCTGAATGGAATAACCAGACAGGGGGCACTCACCAATGATAAGACACCGCAGCACGTTGCTTGTTAAGTTAGCTCTAGCGATAACTCTAAATGACAAATGAGCCAGGCGTTGCACCGTGCGCGACGGACCGGAACCTCATGACCAACCAATGTCCTGGAGCTCCCATGCGTTAAGTGGCGGTCCTATGACGCGAAAAACTACCGTATGCCTCCTGCGACGCCCAGTACAAATGTTGGCTGGGTGATCCTGGAAGCTTCCAGATGGAACGAACTGCAGTAACACAATGTTTCGTGCCAGTGTTTTCGACGATTCGATTTCAGCGACAGCGACATAATAAGTTACTTACGAACCCAAAAACGTTACTGCGATATCTAAGCAACGTTTAGATCGAGCTGTTATAGAGCTGGGACAAACACATTTATTAGAACTTGCCTAAAATTTGATCAACTTAATCCAGATTGTCACGCACTAGCAGGGGTTCGTGGGTAGTAACTGAATTACATAAATTTGGCTGGCCACCAACTTGAACTTGCTCGACCACCAAACTTATCTCCACGACTTGCAAACCTTGGCATGTGGACACAAAACTTTAGCTCAAGTACCCGTATCGTGACTTGATCCACATGATATCCGTGCCTTTTGGTTCAGATATGTGGTGGGAAAATAGTGGTTGGTTGATTCACGGGAGCATCGGAAAAGGAGTCCGAGTCGATCACTAGCGTTGAGTCTGCAGACACTGGACATCGAAAATAACTTCCTGGGCGACATCTGCAAGAGACTGCGATGAGGCATCCGCACCTTCATGGAAGGGCCCAGCAGGGTGGCCTAGCGGTGCAAGTTGTTTATTTCACGTGAGTCATGAAGGTAGTCTCTCCCCAAGGCAGACCGTTACAGAAGGAAGACGGTTGTTCCTTCTTACATACGTGAAGACATCTCTACTGCACACCCTACCTCTGGAAGGATAAACCCGTCTAATGAATAGTGTCGCAGTTAAGATTCGAGGTTTGTAACTTGAACGGTGTGGCAGACTAGCACTAACGAGATTCTGAATCCGGCAAATGATCAGCAGAAACACACAAGGAAAGAGATGTATAGTCTCGTCTGCAAGCTACTCACGGTCATCTATGTTCAAAAATCTCGAGCATCTAGATTTAACGTTATCTGTCTCTGAGTTACTCGTACATCTGATGGTATCCATAGCATTTGCCAGGGGTCCTAAACCAGGATAGTTGCGCTGACCTCTTGGGCCACTCATTCCAACCTTTCATTGGGTCATAGGTCACCTAGAGACAGGGGCGTGGCAGCTGTGACAGTGGCATGACAGTGGCACTCTACCTCATGAGTGAGTCATACATGCCCACGGTATACACGCCTGTTATCATTCAGAAGCGTGCCCATAGTCGACCGTATACATGGAAAAGATTCGATATGTTGCCTTCGCTGCTCCTCGGCCATGGGAGTCTCCTGCATTTAATTTTTTACTGTGGTAATTCATTCTTCCCTGCAGTGTCCCTTGCATCACCTTTTGTCGGGTATGGGTTTACTAATCGAATACTACTCAACAGTCTGGCAACCGTACTGCAACCGCCTTGTCTCACCCCTATCATCATCGCCTTTGTAAGCATTCTGTCTCTTGAGTTAAAACCTCCCGGGCCTGTGGAAGCTTATGCCTGAGAGTTTAGATAAACATTTTGATGAACTTGCTCACCAATCTTAATCACTTGATGTGCGTCCACGTGACATACAATTGGAGTGTGTCGGACAACAAATCATTTAGACACAGACAAAGCCTTAGGGCTAACTGTCAAGGTGCATTCAGTGATGCACGGCAGCGGTCGCTCGGAAGGGGGTCTTGGCCAGTAACTGCGAAAGGATGATTTGTTTTACCTTCTAATTCAAAGGACCTGTGCTGACATCTTCAAGTAAGCGAGCACTCCTGCTTCCAATTCAGGAGACAGAATACGCGAGGGAAGAAAGACGTCTATCAATCAACGAAGACAGGCGCGAAACTCCTGATGGTTGGATGGATACGAAATAGGTACGTTCTCGTTCTTAGCAGCCTATATCAAGAGTTCACTCACATCAATCATCACACTTTCGGCCCCCTCTATCATCCCCGCTCTATCACCCCCAAGTCTTACTCCTTGAGTGATACGATGAACGTACCAGAACCTAAAATAGTCAGTGATGTGGGACCCGGTCAAAATGAGGCTATATACTGACCTTCTGAATGTCTCAGGGCGGTTCGGCCCATCAGCCGGATCATCTATACAAAGGAAGGCGAGCTTCACTGCCCCTCAACATCGTAGTTGTAGGATGTGGTCTGGGAGGTCTCGCTGCTGCATACTGCCTCGCACAGGCAGGCCACAAAATCACCATCCTTGAAGCAGCGTCAACCATCAGTGAGGTGGGCGCTGGCGTTCAAGCCAGTCCCAACATCTCGCGTCTCTTGACGCGTTGGGGTCTTGGCCCACATCTCGAGGAACATGGTGTCAAAATTCAGGGTATGAGCCTTAAACGATGTGAGTTACGTCGAAGTGTTCTGGCGCTCTTGCTTGATGACAATCTCCAGGGACCAACGATGAGGTCATAGGGTGGACGCCCCTCGGGGATGTGATGAATAAGGAATACGGTTCCCCTTTCTACTTCTTACACGTTAGTCCTCTCCTTATTGCACCTATTATTTCTGACGAGGCTAAAACAGCGAGCTGATTTATACCGTATGCTCTATGAAATCACTGAGCCATACTGTAACATCCGTGTTAATAGTCGCGTTGTATCCGTGGACCCATCGAAACCTAGTGTGACTCTTGCTTCTGGGGAGGTCGTATCTGCTGACCTACTCATTGGCGCCGACGGAATCAAAAGTGTTACTCGGGAGTATGTTGTCGGCGGGCCCGATAAACCCAGGGCTACTGGAGATGCTGCTTACAGAGCCATCATCCCGGCTGAGAAACTCCTACAGGACGATGAGCTGAAACCATTAGTGGAGAGAATGGAATCGAATATATGGATGGGCCCCGGAGGTCACATCATCGGCTATGCTATTGTAAGCCGACTTTCGGTCAACATGGTCAACATCGGGAGCTGATGGGAGAGTTGGACAGCGTGCCAAGAAAGATTTTAACCTCGTCATGATGCACCCTGAAGAAGCTGAAGGGGGCGTGGAATCATGGACTACTGAAGGTAACATGGACAAAATGAAGGAGTACTACAAGGGATGGAGCAC